GAAATAGATTATCTCGATCACTCGTAACTCTTTTGCAACACTGTTTTTGTTAATTACAGTAGTTAAAATAGTTTAAATGTCAATCGTTCCATTAAAATTAATTATCGTTCTAAGTTAAGATAAAGTTTTATAAGAGAAGGGTCCAGGCGTACGTAGAGGGGCCAGATACATGCTTTGGTAAGGTTAAAATCAATAAAAGGAAATTTTTCTCCTTATTTCATATATTGTATCGTGTTTTGAGTGTTTAGCAGGATTTGACTTTCTTCCTATACAATATAATGACAGTCTAGTTGACTCTGACTGATTCTACAGTATACTCATATAGTCTTAACCAATGTTCTCAACATATCGTACTAGGATGCTGAATTGCGTCTGCTGAACTTTCTATAATAATATGACTTTTAATTGCGGTAGAAAGTTTGGATTCGAGTAGATGACCTTGGCTAAGGTTCTTAATCGGTTGCAACTTAAAATTTAATCTACTTGCGCGTATGAACATATTGTATGAGAGCTATACCTACTCTAGAAGTAGAAGCCATTCTAGACGGATAGAATGCTTCCATTTGAGTAAATATTATCGAGCCAGGTTCTCAATCGGTTGCAATCTATTTTGAGTGTACGAATAGTGTATTAGAGTTGCACATAACTCTAAAAGTAGCAATTATTATGAGACACGTAGAATGTTTTCAATTGGAGAACATGGCGTTGATCTCAATTTGAGCTTTAGTTTAAAAGTGGAAAGTGTTTTACTGTACATAATCGGATAGAATGCTTCCATCCTAGTAGATAGCCAGGTTCTGAATCGGTTGCAACCTATTTTGAATATACAGGTAAATTATATTACAGTTGCTTCTGACTATAAAAGTAGGAGTTAGTTTAGACGGATAGAAAGTTTCGATTTGAGTAGATGGCCTTTGTCAATGGTGGCCACTAACTGCACCACCTTATTGTTGGTATATTATGGTGCCATAGCTGGACTTTACTCAACGAGCTTTAAAACAGGACATTAATTGATAGGGGTAAACCGCTTAGATTCGAATATATGATTTTTAGTAGATTGTCAATCGATCGTACTCCGTTTTGAATATTTCGTTTACTAGAGCTGCACTTGACTAGAACGGGAGAAACTAGTTTACAAGGCTAGACTGCATCGATTCGAATCCATGACTACAGTATTGGTCAATTCTCTCTTTCGGTTGCACGATAGCTGTAGTGTTTTCTTGTATGTACTATAGATGCAGTTTACTCTAAAAGTAGAAGCCAGTATTAAGGATAGACTATATATGTTGGAGTGCCTCGCTTAGGTTGATATTTTTACTATGCAGTGCTTGCGTTTGATTTTATTCTACATCAGTCAGTACTCTCGACCCACCGCATCGTATTTTAGAATGTTCACTTTGCTAAAAATGGCTCTACATGTTTACTCATAATGGCCATCTTATGCTGTAGACAGATTGGGCTATACAGCAGATTGATCTTGCGGTGTCCACTTCGTTAGATCTTTCAATGTGGCAGGACAGTGCTGATAGAAACTAGCATCTGTATTTTATTTTTCTATAATACCAGCTACCTCATGGTGAAGGAGAAGGCATTTAGTTGACTCTTGCTCCACTTTACTACCACAATAGAATACGATACTTTGTTGACTCTCCTTACTTCATTTTTTTACAAACTTGAAATTAGACACTTTTTTTCGACTCTTACTCCCTTTTTCTACCCACAATAGAATAGCATTCTTCGCTCACTTCTACCGTATTACTCCATTTTTCTACCACAATTGAATTTGATTCAATCTTGACTCTTACTGTACTTTTCTACCGTATTCGAATACGATTTTTCCTTGACTGCTATGACTCTATTTTTCTACCATAATAGAGTGGGATTCTTGATTGTAATCTCCTTCCATTTGTAACCCTAACCTTGAGTCAATATTTCAATGGGGCTCGACTGGAAATAAAAACAATATAATATAATGTAGAAGCTCCAAATGGAAAACTCTGAATCATAACCTATTGATGGTGCCTATTCAAGGCATTAGCAGACGTGCTTGTCGATTTTTTTTTCACCTTGTCTGCAACGTATTGACAGTCACAAATCATCGTTTGGACAGTAGATGAATGAGCTTGCATTAGAAGGGAGTCTCTCTTGCTCTTGTCTTTCTTTTTTTAATGGAAAGAAATGCAAGACTAACGGATTAAGTAAAGCCGTTATTGATTGTCTCTCACCTATTGTTGTTTTTATCCAATGTCCGATTAATTCATCCCTCCCCCTCCTGCATCCTTTTGATGAGCACAAGAAATCGTGAGAGCAATAATTTACTGAATCAAGCGAGAATTGTATTGAATGGATGATTTTATTGATTTGGCATGCAATCCCGCCATCTTGCCCATGTCAATAATATGCATTTTAGACAACGTCTTGACACTATCTTAAAGCAAGAAGGATAGTTAGAATGGATGAGTGTATGAATCCATCTACTATCCAGGCTCCATGATAACGATGACCACGAGGACGGTTAACGTCTCCTCCATTGCTGTCATTGCAATCTCATTTCAATGTCGTTCTACGATAGGAAAGAAATGAAGAATACCTATCCTCGATTATTATGAGTACAGCATTTCAGTTTAATTTCTCAATTTTTTTATATCTGCCATTTCATTCATGACGATGGAAAGTTTCATTTTGGCAATCGCCGCTTGGATTGACTAAGCAGTGCCCACTCGCTATGATAGCGTAGCGATGCCAGTCTCTAACGGCCTAACCCCTTATATGTTTATTCTCTCCTTCTATTTTCAATTTCACTCAAATTCGTCAGTCAAATAGTTTCGGTTGAAAACTTGCATACAACAGGATCCATGTTATTAGGGAAAAGGAGAAAGACAGATCTGAGTGTAAACGTAACCCTACCATGTTCTTCTTCTCCTTTGACTGACAACTCCACTTGAAACAAATCAAGTGGTCTTGGTCGAAAAAAAGTCACATAACATGATCAATGCTAGGTAATCCTATCGTAGTCATTCTCTCCTTGTGCTTTTAACTCTATAGGAAACAAGTCGAGTCGTCTCGGTTGGAAAATATGAACACATAGTTTGATCGAGCATAGGCAACTCTCCTGTTATTGCCAACAACTGCACTGGAAACAAATTCAAGAGTCTTGATAGGAAAATATCACCACACGATATCATCAACGTAAGGAGAATTTTCCCGTTATTGCCAACGGCAATGTAAAAATAAATCTAGAGCCTCACTTGGAAATATCAACACGACCTGGCCAACTCTCCTATTATTGCTAACGCTACCCGAAATGAGTCTGGTTGTCTCGGTCGGAAGATACGAGTATCAATACGACATAATCAAAGGAAAAAGAGCAAGACAGATCTAGTCTACATCTAATCCTAGCATGGTCCTCTTCTTGTGTTTTTACTACCAACACCACTCCCAATAAGTCAAGTCGTCTCGGTTGGTCAATAATAACACAAGATGATCAACGTTAAGGGAAAGAGCAAGGCAGTTCAAGTGAGTACCCACAGCACTCCAAATACAGGAAGTCAAGTCATCTCGGTTGGAAAATAGCAACACGACATGATGAGCGTTAGGGATAGGATAGATTCAGTCTTCAGCCAAGCCGAACATCGCCATCATTGCCTGTTGTTGCCAACTGGAAACGAGTAAGTTAGTCTCACTTGGTCCATACCAGTACGACAAGGTCAACAGTTAAGGAAATGAACAAGACGGTTGGAGTCTACAGTAAGAATAGGTCTCAACATTTTGTTTTTAACCGTCACGATCAAGATACTGTGAACGACAATGCAGTCGCCAAATTGCCTAGACAGGTTTACGATGGCTTTGCCAGTATTTAGTGTTGTATGTAGCAAGGCATTGATCAATGCATTTGGAATTCAAGTTGTCATTGGCATGAATGAGAAGATTGCAATGTTTTGTCTTGATCAGCATGGCCTCTCTTGCTGTCCACACTTGTAGGCCATGTTGGCTATTGGATGCCTTGATGGAAGAGAATACAAGCCTTTGGTGCTTGTCTCACATCGGTGTGGGCTTTTATTTGTTTTGCTGTTGTCTTGAATAAAAGTGTATGTCTCCAATGGAGAAAACAATGTATAAGGAGGTTGGACCACCTGCAATCATCTTCCTCTCGTATTCAATGCAAGTAATTCTGATGAAAATAGATTGTAGGCGAGAGATCGAATCAAGTCCAATGGCAAGCATCACGTGGAATATTAAGTAAACTATCATGGCATCACACTAGCTCATTTTTTTTCCTATCTACTTGCGGTAAATCCTCCTTTACGACACTCTTTCATACATGGAGACGCAAGCTCCACACAAGAGCAAAAGTATGTAACATTGGAATTTCATATTGATCTTTTCTGCCTTGATTCGTCAGTTACAGTAATTGCAAGAGATGGAGAATGAATGTTTCTCCATCCGTTGATAGGACAGCCGTACAAATGGTTGATCGTCTTTTCAATTCTATGCTGCCTTATTTCATTCCATCTGTTAACTGCAATAACGCTGTAGTTGATTCATTTTCGTTACCAAACAATCCAGAGCGATCGCCGTCGATAACATCCATTTTGATCATGGATGGCTATAACAGCCTATATCTTCTTGGCTCGATAACCTTCGTCTTCATCTAGGCCATGTCCACTTGTCCGATGCTTGACGATTGTTTTCAATTGGACATGGCTATTGCGGTTGTTTTGCTTTTATCTTGGAAAGAAGTTGAAAGATACTTTAGGCACCATCCTGTGGCTGTAGTTGACCAATTTATCCTAATGTACGATTACCAATTTCATTCAAGGGATGGCAAAAAGGCATGAAGATTTTCATGTCTTTTATGCCATCCTTGGACACCCATGTTATCCTAGCAAATGTACACTCTTCATCACCAATCAACTAGTCTATTCCATTATGCCACATCTCCATCATACTATTTTAACTCTTTCCTTTAGCCTACAACTTTAACATGCAATCCTATATCTATGCTCATTTTGATTTCTTTTTTTGAATGCCCAGATCAATTACCTTTTTGCTCTGGTTGTGGTGGCAAGATCAACGATCGCTACATCTTGCAGGTTGCACCTGATATGCAATATCATGCAGCTTGCTTAAAATGCGCTTCGTGCCAGCAACTGTTAGATGAAAAAGAAACATGTTTCCTACGAAATGGCAAACCTTACTGCAAGTCAGATTTTAAAATGTAAGTTGGAATAATAGCCGACATGTCTTGATCGTTTTGCACAGCTCTATGGGGTATCTAGTCGGCTGTCAAATAGGGTAAAAAAAAAAATTTTTACAACAAAATGCTGAATTGAGTTGATTCCATCACTTGCCCCATGGAAAGTCATGAAGAAGCGTAGAATCCATGGTGATAGTGTTGCATTCTCCAGTTTGTTGAGGCTTTTTTTTGCCTTTGAATTTTTGATGTGTGCGTGGATGTCTGTGTCTGAATTTTTTTTCTATCCAGCTTGTGTTTATAGTCTTATTGGCATGTATTGAAAGAACTTTCAGTCATAATCATTACTGCAAATACTTTATTTTCATGACACTATAAAGTTAACGCCTTCGGTATTATGTCGGTCACACTAAAACGAATTTTAATATTGCTTTCTCTCACGCCATTTTCCATATCCATTTCCTGTTCATAAGTGACAGCAAAATGCTGCCAATGATTCGTTATCCTTATTGTCTTTTTTTGACATGTTTCACTTTTAAATGTTGGTAATCCATTTTTTTCTCAACCGATAACAAATCTTAAATTGTCCTCTATTTGACCGAAAAAAATAGTCCTCCTTCTCCTAATCAATCCGTCTACATCCATTGCCATGCATTATTTTCCTTGTATTGAAAGCTAGCAGCGATCAAGATAGAATTCAATTTTGAGTTAATTACTTCACTTGTATTGAAATTTTTTTCCTCCCGTTTATTTTGACTATTGCTGTGTGACCCATTGGATGTAGAATGATTACGTATAGGCAACATATCTGTTCCATTGCGTAAATAATGATCTTATTTTGTCTACCCAAGGCCATGATAATGATACTCTTTTATTTTGGTAGCCATTCTGTTGATAGTATTGAATGAAAGTGAGAAATGGAATCGTTGAAAAATCGGATACAATCACCATAATATCCGGTACATAGGTAGTCAACATCTTGAGGCAATCAGTAACTCCATTTAGCTAACACTATCGTCCTACTGATATCCCTGTTAACGGAAATACAATTTCTTTTCTCCCTCGGCTCAGCATTTCTGCATATATCATAGGAAATGGCTAGATTTAATGGCCATGAGTACGTAAAATATCTTTTCAAGATAAAGGTGGTCGCTAACGCCGATTTCAATCATCATCCACCATGTTTTAAAAAATTGACGATGCTCATCGTTGTCAATGATTATTGTCAACGTATTGGTTACTGTATACTTCGACAATCGTTTCTTTTATTTGCAACAATTATTATTCAATACATTGTCCACTTTTTCCACCGGTTCGACAATTTAAATGGACTTGGATCCAATAACCAAGACAATTAGGGGAGTCTTATTAATGCTTGTGGCCCATTTTACCGCGGATATGGCTTGTTGTGACGCTTTGCTATTATTTTACTTGCTATGTTGTCTCTCTCTTCTTTGAGTTTATCCGTTTCGTTTTTCTGTTTGCAATGGCGACAAGATAGAAAACCCTTATCCAAAGACGGTTTCGTTTGACGTTGATTTCTATCAAAACACACACAGCCATTTTATTCTTGATTTGGATTCCTTGAACGACATTTGACAATAGCCGAGCTTTCTGGTCCAAGTTTCAATCTGATGTTTTTTTTTTTGCCTCACCTGTTTCATTCTAGGTTATTCCATAATCGTTGTACAAAGTGTAACCGAATATTTGAACCAAGTGAATTTATCATGAGAGCCAAAGGCAATCCTTACCATATCGATTGCTTCCGATGTCATAGCTGTATGCGCAAGCTAATTCCTGGTGATCGATATGGCGTCGACACTTACATTTTATATTGTAAAGAGCATTACTTAAATAAAATGAGTAGTAGTAGCAATCATGATACCTTGCAATCAACGATGGCGGACAGCGATTGGCAAAATTCCGATAGTCCTGAGGGTAAGTTGTTTTTAACGACTGCTATTCATCACATTTCTTTCAGCTATTGATTTTATTGATTTGCAAGGAAATCAGCCATTATAATAATCTTGTAAGAATAATATTGATCCTGGCGATTAAAATAGATTAAAATAGATTAAAATACCAATTCATGAATTGACTTTTTATCCATGGAGTGTAAACTTTTACTTTATCCACGGAGTAGCAAGAGTCTTCCCTTTCCATCCCAAACGGTGATCGATGACACGTTTACGATCCGTAACTGTCGAGATATATTACCATCTATGACGCTAGTTAGAAACTGAAAGTAATAGAATGTTAATCGTCTTGCGTTTCCGTTCATGAAAAGGATAGGCAAAATTGCCATTTTACAACATGGATCTCGATCATTCCATGAATTATTTATACGTGATCATGACCATCCATTTTGGTCACCAATACGGTGATCCTGCTAAGTAGAGCTAACTTCCATTCTGGGAGGGGAACAGATTAGCTTGCCACCCGGGATAAAATGTTGGAGTAAAATAATCAATGTTAAAAGACTAGGGTAATGCTGTTTATCATAGCCGATTAGCAATCATCTTGAATAAAGTGCCATCGTGATGCCTTTGGCGATAGTCCATTGTAGACAGAAGTCGCATCGGGTGGCAATGATTGATCTTCGTAATGCCTTTATTGATAGTTTATTGCCGATGAAACCCGTAGTTGGTGGAAATGACCATGACCATCATCATCATATCGCTCGTAAGAATCCATTGCAAATACAATCCGTATTTGTGGAAATGATGATGGTCTTGGACTATCGTGATACCTTTCGTCATTAGCGACTACAGTAATAATTTATTGCAAGTAGAACCCGTATTTTATCCAAATGATGAGAATCATTAACTCATCGTCATGGCTTTAGCGATACTGTATTCGAAAGCTTATTTCATCGAACTGAAAGAGTAGCGATGGACTTTGCAATCAGGTCTACTTTGCATACTTTACGGGTAAATCACACTCAATAGCTGGTTGGTTAACAGTGATCTACGCGTATTATTGATCTTGATAGCAAGATTGGCCCTTACAGCAACACGATAATGATGAAGATTGTGTATTTTGTGGGCAGTAGGCTGAAAATAACATTCTATCCAGCCTAACTACAAAGCAGTTCGAACGATTGCTGCAATTTTCATCATTAAGACTCATCATAGTAGTGCTATCTTCAGAATAGCCCACTAGGAAGTAGACTAGAGCAATGCTATCGACTCATAGATCAACTTACCTACTGCATTTAATCTATTACTATCGAAACGTTCATTACTGTTGAGCAATTACGCGGCATTTCGACATGATTCTCAATTGGATAGCAATAGCAAACAGTTTGATTCTACCCAGGTTGATCCCTTCATACTGTACAAATAGGATCAAAACATCTTCCTGCTACCTTTTTCAAGTCTACAGCCGGCAGCTTGCTCTTGATCCACTGCGTTGTTACATCATCCAACGCAGGGCTAGTTGACGAACCAAGTTTTTATCTTATTTCCTACTCAAGATCAAAGCAAGGAAACTTTAGATAAGATAGTTTGTCGTTGGCATTTAGTGATAGAGGAATTTATTACTTAACATGACAATAACCTTATTCGTTATTCCATTGTTGGATAAGTTGACAATAGATTGCGGTATCGATAACTTTTTCCATATCAATTTTATTGTTGAGCGATATTGATTGCCCTAGACAATAAGCAAAGATAATAGTCGGGCTTTTATTTGCATCATTACTTCTACATGTTATCTATGTATTTTCGAGTCTTTTTAATGTATTGATTTGTAACGAACTAGAGAAAATAAGTTGGTCGATTTTGCTTATTATGTCTAGTCTTGATAGGGTAGTGATGGATAATGAAGGTTGAGGAAGAGTGGATAGATATATTCTTCTGCATTAATCTTATCGTGGTAGTAGATTGATTTGTAGCAGACTTGACAATTGGTTGATAGATTATTCTTATGTTATCTAGTCTTGACAGTATTGTTGATTTGTAACGGATTTGAAGAATAGTGAGTACATTATACTTGTTTTATTTAGTCTTGGTAGTATGTTGATTTGTAACGGACGTGAGGAACAGTGGATAGATTATTCTTGTGTTATCGAATTTCGGCAATATATTGATTTGTAACAGACTTGAGGAACGGTGGATAGATTATTCTTGCTTTATCCGCTCTTGATAGTGTATTGATTCGCAAATAAATTGGAGGAATGGTCGTGAGATTATTTTTAGTCTGGTGTAACTGTATATCAATTTCCAACCGACTTGACAAGTAGCCGGTTGAATTAATATACTCTACTCCTTTTATCGAATCGTGATAGTATGTTGATTTGCAATGGAATCGAGGAATAGTGGGTAGATTATTCATCCATTATTTTATTTTGGCATTATGTTGGTCTGTAATAGATTAGAGGATATAATTTAGTAGATTATACTTGCATTGTCTAATTTTGAAGATGTGTTGATAGATAATGAAAAATAGTGGATACATTTGTCTACATTGATCTTGGTAGTTGATTGATCTGTACAGACTTGACAATTGATTAATACGTTATTTATGTTATCTAGCCTTGAAACTGTAGTACTGTATTGTTGAATTGCAACGGAATAGAAGAATAGTGAGTGCATTTACCTTGTTTTATGTAGTCTTGGTAGTAATTAATTACATATAATAATAATAGATTTGACAATTGCCTGACAGTTATCTAGTCTTGGTAGTATGTTGATTTGTAACGAACTTGAAGAATAGTGAGTACATTCTTCCGGTTTTATTTTTATCCTGGTTGAATGTTGAATTGCAACAGGCCTGAGAAACAGTGGGCAGCTTATTCTTGTTTTATCAAGTCTTGGCAGTATATTGATTGGCATACGGACTTGAAGAATACTGAGCACATTATTCTTATTTTATGGGGTCTTGGCAATGTATTGATATTTATATATATAAGTAACAGACTTGAAGAATAGCGATTACTTTATCCTTGTTTTAGTCTTGGTAGCATTTTTTTTTTTTGTAACAGAGTTAAGGAACAGTGAGTACATTCTTCTTCTTTTATCCATTCTTGGCGGTGTGTTGATTTGTAACAAATTAGAGGGGTAGTTGTTCGATTTTTCTTAGTCTTGGTAATATATTGATTTGCATCGAACTTGAGTATGAGCGGACCGATTATTTTTGTTTATTTCAGCCGTATTATTATATGGATTTGTAACGGAACGTTAGAGAAATAGTAGGTGGATTATTTCTTAATTTATCTTTGACAACTTATGGATTTGTGGCGGACTTGAGTTGGTAGATTATTCTTAATGTATCTTGCTTTAGCTAGTATACACATAATAACTGGAATTCTTTTGTCGAGTTTCTGTAGTATACGGATTTGCATCAGACTTGAAAATGAGTTAGTAGATTACATTATTCTTCTTTAAGAAAGCCTTGGCAGTATGTTGATTTCTAATGAAATTGGAGGAATAGTTAGTACGTTGTTCTTGTATTGTCTCGGTAGTATCCGTATATTGCTTTACGCGTATAATAAACTTGGGGAATAGCTAGTAGGTTGATCCTTCTTGATTTCTTGTCTTTGTAGAATGTTGGTTTCTAATCGATTTTGAGAATAATTTGAACATTATTTTCAATCATAACTCGTAAGCGATAAAGTATGCGTAATATAGATCTCAGGCTCTCTTTCATTAAGTAACTTACTTTTTGGTACATCATAGTGCTCGGCAGTGGTAGGGCATAATACAAATTAATGGTATTGCTCTAATTTTCCCAACATTTATAAGTACGTACTGCGATAGTGTAACTTTCGCAACATGATTACTCGCTAATACTGTTTATCTCAATCAAAAATACTAATAATTATTATCAAAGGCGCGTATACTGGCAGTTATCACGTTTTCAAACGATCTAAGCCTAAAATAATTAATTCATTCAATTTGACTAGTAATTTGACATCTTCAATTTCTTATAAGCAACGATAAGATCTATTTAAAATCAAACACTAGAAGAATAGAGGTAGCTCTTTGATTACTCTTTAAGCAGACGGTGACAATTATCTATAACCACTGCTGATAATTATTAATACGGAAGAATCAAAATATTGGGCAATACTATTTTCTTACTCGTACATAAAATAAGTTTTAAGCACCTAATTATTAGAGTTACCTACGTTAGGGTCGAGTTCTTTACACATATCTGTCGGCTACCCAATCGTTATCGACTCGGCCTTGTAATGCAATATTTTAGCGTACGCCCATACTGCCATCAAGTGATTTTAAATCTTGATATAGCAGTTGTCGTGTATTAAAACAGAAACTGAAGCTATAATACTAAGTAATATCATATTGTGCCATATCATCTATAATTTAGTCGAGCACATTCCTAGATAAAAGTAAATATAAATGATATAATAATTTTCTTAGCTTAAGACAAAGAAGACCAATCATAAATTCCATTACTTCCTTTTTGCCCTATAAAATATCACAATAAACAAATTGTAATAACCATTCCCTTATGTACTTTCAATATTCAGATACTGATACCAAGTCTCAGTCAACGCATGCCAAATCGAAACAATTAACTTCACGGAAAGGTATGAAAGGAACAAGAATTCGAACGGTACTCAATGAGAAGCAATTGCAGACGCTTAGATCGTATTATGCGAGTAATCCAAGGCCCGATTCAACAGTAAAAGAAAAATTGGTAGAATTAACAGGACTAAATCCTAGAGTTATACGCGTTTGGTTTCAAAATAAAAGATGTAAAGATAAGAAAATAAAAGCAGCTGGAGAGCAAGCTCTAGAGGAAGAGGTAGTAAGAATAATCTTGCAATATACCGTCAGTATCTGCTGATAGATAATTTTATCATAATGATCATGACATTAATGGCTCATAATAGAAGACAGGGAATTAATAATTATAATAGATTCTAGTGGTATATATTGTGACATTTCATTAAAATACCTGCTTTGTTTTCGATATCATAAGTAAAATACCATAAGTATTTCTTATTGTGCATTTATGCTCACTATATCTCTCATCAGCGAACCAAAAGTATTTGCAAACTGTGCAGTTAATACTGTGCCTACAGTACAGCACTCAGTATATTATTGCTGTATAGCGGACCGTATTGCTGCTATCAAAATAGCTAATATAGCAAATATACGTTTATCGATTCTATTTCGATTAAATCCGTTATATAATTTCGTGGATAGTGAATATCTACCTATTCCAGTAGAATTATCGCTAAATTTATATTTTGTAATCATTGATACATTATCACAATAGTCTAGGTATTCGATTGCTGAGAGGAAAAGGGCTGAAAAACTAAGAGTAATTAGTTATGGTTATAAAACCATTCTAAACAGTTACTGTACTATACCTTAATAACTAATCACCTTGCAAAAGTATTCATCAGTAAATGTTTAATCGTTTTAACTTTACAGCTACATAGTTGTTACTCTGACTTCAGCTAACTTCAAGAAATATCTTTTGATGTGATAACGTTTCCTCCATGATATCGCCTTCTATTTGCTAAATACCTAATAGAGTTAATTCTTGATATATTCTATGTATTGGAATTATATGAATAGATTGCTGGTGTATCTGAACCATTGGAATAATTCAAGAGGCTATATTTGCAATATAGATATCTAGCAATAGCAAGATAGACTTTAAATCTTTTTTCAACTTTGTCTCTTTATAGAGCCCGATTTCATATGGCCAGAGCATACAGCCGTTGGGCAGTGTTCAAGGCGCTACTGATTCTGAGTGTCCTTTATCCACTTCTGGGGAATCGATGCAATCCAACTTGATGACCTATTCACAAGGTTCATGGAGTAATTATAATGATCTTTCATATATGGCACCTGATGAAACTTCTAATGCCATGCATGCAAAATATCAGCAACATCAACATGTACCAAGTGTATAGCTGATTTTTTTTTGCATTTATCACAACGATTCAACGACAGAAAGGCTTTGTATGGTTCTAAATCGAAATGTCGATATTTCCTTTCGACATTGAAGCTTCTAGATATTGTTTCATCTTCTTTACTACCCTGTGCAACTCATAGTATCCATGGAATACAATTTCAGCATCTTGTTTGGGATTTATTTTGAAATACAGTGTCTACTGTCTAATAACATTGTAATGATAAAAAATTAACTTGCATCGGATGTTTCTTAAGTCAATTTCAATACTGGATTTAAAAGAAAGTATTGATTTATTTATTTTAAATGTGGTACAATAACTTTGTATATTTTGTAATATTTATTATCAATTGAGTTTCCCTAATGGGATTGAGGATGTAATGTTAACCTAAATAATAGCTAAAGCGGTATTGCAGAATAGATTTTTCGTGCAACATGTTGCAGTTATAACTTTGAATTGTTAGTCAGTAGTGCTATATATATACAACAATACAACAATATGAACAACCAGTTTACGTTTGCAAATTTTCGCTATTGTATTTTTGAACATAAACTATGGTTGAGTGCGTTTAGAATCGTTTCAAGTACGATCGTATTTTGATTTAAAAATTGCCATAGTGCAGATTCTTAATTAATTTATTGCTAATCATTTGGAGAATGGCTAGCCAATTCAAGGTATTTACAAAAGTATCACTGTATCGGCTTTAATTCAGATACTGTATAGTGTAATATTCCACTCAATAGGCGATCTTGGCTTGCATCTGTCTAAATGCATTTAGAGTAGTGGGCATTTGTGACTATTCTTTGCCGTCATGATTGTTTAGAATTGCAACAATTATTATTATTATTTTTTTGTTTTTGTTTCCATACTTGTTATAACTTGTATCTCAATCTCAATGGAGCAGTAACGTACTATTTCAAATACGAGTTTGTCGAATTTCTGTTTTGTTGCAGTCATAAATTACTACGGAATGTCCTCGATATCTGTTTACGGTGTACTATCAAATATCTCAGATCATTGTAGGTACGCAATGCGCCGTCTAAAGGCTTATAGGTATCTAATTGTAGCAAAGAAAATTGACAAAATAGATCATTTTTTCAAAAGTTAGCTAATAAGAAGTGATAAAATGAGTAAACATTAGCAGCTATGAAATTTATGATCTTTGATTTATTTGCGGTAATTGTATTTTAAAGTTATATTTCTAGTATTGTAGTTTGAATATTGCCTTTTAGATTGCGCTTTAGTTGATGTTTTTTTTCAAATTTTCCTTAATTACAACGGTGGTTATCATTACTGTGGTAACGTTACTGACCCTTGAAATAGCAATAGTACGTATCTGCTCTAAATATGAAATTCACTTTATGTACCGTACCTTACAAAAATGTCACTCTCGGTAACCATTTTTCTCGAAGGAATAGCTTTATATTGCGATAATGCTGTCAATTACTTGGCTGAATGGTATTTACCCTAATAGTCGTTTGCATAAGTTGCAAATGATAAACATTGCACTTTTTTTGTAAAATTTTTAAACTGAGGTCTATTTATGTTTTTCCAATGGGACATCTATATTCTATGAGTATATGTATGTACTGTATGTGTATATATACGCGTATATGGAATATGTATATATGCAATACTGCCCGCAGTATATATATACGAGTATGAACTTAAACGACATAAAATCAATATGAGCAAATAAATCATCATCATGTAAGACGATTGTAATACCTACTAATGCTTTTACTGTAGATTAGGATAGGTGGTTTTCAGTATTTGTAATCATTTTAATCTATGCATGTGCTAGCTACCTGAGTATAACATATACAACAAAAGAATGCCCTAATCTATTTCAAATACCATATCTTAAGAACTTGGTTAATTTTAATGAAAACGATTACTTACATAATCACACAATTCTTAGTACGAGGTACTCTTACAAATTTACATGAAATTTATTAAAAGCTTCAATACGAACTACTGCAAGAATACAATTTGGCCGCTGACGGCAGTAATCATACTTACGAAATGACTTATGGTATCACAGTATGGGAATGGTAGGCTACAGTCATGGAAGTATAATTTGAAAAAAGTGCGAAAACAGTACGATAATAAACAGTGAATGCGAACAACACTATCACTAATGCCATAAGATAATGCGTATTTGACAGATACATCTAAATGGAGAATCCTATTTTATTTCCAGCAATGCCGTAGTTGCATAAAATAGCCAGTTGAATTGATTCTATGCTAGTCCTTGCATGCTTTTATCTCGCGATTCGGTCCACGCTTTAGCAATGGTTCGCTTCATTTCATCATCGCCTTCATCATACATTTTCTTCATCATATCCATAATACCTTTAGAAGGATCTTCATTTGAATTTAGTTCTGGCTTACTAATAACATTATAAGTTTTATGAATAGTTAATATGAATGAGTTAGCGACATGTACCGATAAAGCGGATCAACAGCATGACGTTCAGTGACTTACACTGTCTCTTTGACCTCCGACTTTGTTAAATGAGACCAGCGTTCACTTGTTTTCTCTTTCTTCATACTCACGACGATATCATCTGTTTTCACCTAATAGCAGACGATAATAGTGTAGGTAATTGAATCAAGATTAAAATGAACCACCCGATAATACGACTAGATCATGTTATTGTCCACTTGATAATAAAATAACTGTGGTTCATTTAGAGCATCATGACAGAACCTGGCAATGGTTTTTATAGTAATGGCAGTAACTTTATTCCTTTTATTATGGTCTACATTTTAATTATCGATACGCGTATGGTAGTACAGCATATAAATTCACCTTGAATGTGCTCGATTCTGGAACGATCTTAGCAAAGAGTCCCTTTATATTTAAGGCATAGTTCTTGTTATTGAAATTGACGACAGAAAGACTAATAGAGCTAAATAACCATCAAGAAATAGGATTGAGATAAAAAGTAAGTCATTTTCATCCATTGATATTAAACGTCCAACACTTTCAGGCGAATATCCACAAGAGCAGGTTGTATTTTATTAATGCAATTACTGACCTGGAGGTGAAAGTGACATTAATTTGCTCTTTTGGCAAAGCATTGATTCCACTGAGAGAGATGTATAATTTAACAAATTTATCGGACTGATCCCATCCTGTGTGTAAGCCAAAGAAGAGTATACGTATAATGTGTTACCTACCCCGATTACTTTAGGTTCAAATCATTTAAGTGTATTCACTCATGTTGAAAGCTAGTCTACAATACATAATCATGGGTTGCAAATGGAGTTGTCATTTTTACCGTATCGATCAATATTCTTTACACTTGCAGCCGCTTTTATACTGGTTTTGTTGACAGCAGTTTCATTTTTTCGAGCTGTAGTCGCTTTCCTATTTTCTACTTTTGCTAATTCGCCTGTTAAAAGTTGCTTGACATGCTGGGTCTTGGCAGACTGGATGAGTTCTTTAAGATCATTGATAATCTCTTCCTAGTAAAAGAAAAGATCCAAGAGTTAGCCTCAGTTAGGCTGATCGTCTATTCCAAGTCCCGTCTCGTCCATCGACGATGGCACTCGTCCATTATGTATCAAGGTGCTTTGTAGTAAAGTAATGCATTACCGATTGATGACGACAAGAATCGCATCAAAGTTTCATACTACGAGTACGATCCATTGGTAATGGCTACTAACTATAGATTGTCTACACTCTTATTTTGTACAGCGGTGGACTATAAGAAAGCAGTTTGCCTCAGTATACAGTGGACTACAAAATGCTATGCTCCACTACTCGATGACGAATCCTATCCTGGCCCTGAAAAATGAATTGCAACCAGGTTGTCCAATCAATCGAGACGATTCAATCTCGAATAGACCACCGAGAGCTGTATATGAGGTTGCCAAATAGCCCACCAATAACAAGTGTACTACTACTGTATACAAGTTGCACATTACCTCCATTGCTAACAATTTGACAATAAGTGGTTGGAATAGGTCACAAATTTCAAGGTTGGACAAATCACTGGAGTGAAATGCTTGACCAAGGAAGCAAAAAATTACAACTACGCTTGCAGCTCTTTCCCTCACTAGCTCGAGCGAGATGACTGGCAAAATTGGCTTGGACCGACTGCGACTTGTCTTTTAACAAGTTTGCTCGTACCGACTGGAATTGTATTGGACTGACGGACATTACGGTACAGACTGGATCAATACCCCGAGGTATTATACTGTCCATTGCGGTAGACGACCGGTAGTTTGCCTAGTACGAGTTCCTGTTGCGGTACGTTTGGACTGCAATCATTCGATTCATTCTAGAAATTTCTGAGATTTGGACTTTGTGGATCAAACTTGTGCATTGTTGACTATTGGCTGACCAAGACTGTCATAAAGTTGACTCGATGATAAATAGAGTAATGTAGGAGAGTCCCGATAGGAATCTCTGAGAATGTCAAGATTCTATGGGAAAAGGCATCGACTCTTCGTTATTCATGCATTCCATTAGAATGTCTCCGTTTTTCCAGCATGTTTTCCAGGCCATGATGCAGCCTCCGACCGTACAGTACTCAGTACCGTAACCCACAGTACTCAGTACTGTAAAGGGCATGACAGGTACTGTAATGGACGTACAGTATTGGACAGTACACTGTACAGTGTATAGTACCCAACAGTCAACAGTGTAAAGTACTGTACGTGTGCAGTGAGCAAAAACCACATCTGTACAGTACAGTACAGTAACTACCGCTGAAAATATCTGTCCTCCTTGGCCAGTTATTCTTATCTCTTAGAGTGACACTATTTATGCTTGCCTATGTTATGGACTTCTACAGTGGATACGAAACGCAACCGTTTCAACTAATAATATCATGTACTGTACAGTTTATAATATACTGTACAGTATAATCTAATATATTTTGCAACATTATATAGATTAGATTTAATTTATATATAATATATAATATATATAATCTAATATATTTTTTGTTACATTATATAGATTTAATCTATATATAATATAATATAATATATTTTGTTACATGATACAGATTTAATCTATATATAATATAATACATATAATATAATATATTTTGTTACATGATATAGACTTAATTTATATACAGTATAATAAAGTTTCATCAGCCATTAATTAATTCAGTAATGAAGCAAGTAAGCAGCTCATCGTTGGCCTGCCTATCGTGGACAAATTGAGGGTATCATTTTAGATACACACTTCAGTTGAGATAACCAGCAAATCGTTAGCTCGTATCCTTATTAAATACTTGAACGACTGCTGCCTATTCGCCTCTCTTTCGGTTTACTGTTAGCATTGTTAGTACAGTTGCTGTTGCTGTTGTTTTGGTGGGTAGATAAATAATTGATTAGAATAGAATCCCTTGTTCAAGGTAACACCTAGCTCGCCTCAACATAGGAACTGTGCAAAAGTTGACTGGATATGGTAACTACAAGCAGAAAGCAATCTTAACTGATTGTCACACTCCGACGTACAGTAATGTTTCTACTGTAAACACTGCCGTTCAAGTATTCGCACAACTTATTTATTAACTCGATTTCTTATAGCTGGAATTGATCTGTTACGCAAGATGATGATGATAGCAGTGTATAAATTACTCCACTAGTTCAAGCTGCTTACCACTTCAAATAGGTCAACGTGGAAGAATCCATGGCTACCATTGCCGACGCAATTGCATTGCGTTGCATATTGTAGACACACTCTTGAGAGAGAGAAGCAGTTCTGCTACCAAAGGAAGTGTCTCACGGATACTCTGTGACTAAACTACAAAAGGAGATGGATAGCATGATTTCATTCTAAACATGAAATGGTCGTTTAAATATGCTTGTACAAGTCTTGACTACTTACTGATAGGTACTGTAGACGCTCTCTCTCTCTCTCTAAGCAGTCCTGCCACAAAAGGAAGTGTCTCACTTATTAGACTGTATGACTGGATTACAAAAGAACGCAGTATGCATTTGATTCTTGCATAAAAAGGTCATTCAAGTACGCGTACTAGCCTTAAATGGAGATTATGAAAAAATTTCATATCTTAGGAAAGAAAATGTCTCATTGAGACTAGCAAAAGAAAGGCAGTATGCATTGATTCTTTACACCAATGGTCACTCAAATACGAGGGTATGTCTTGAATATCAAATTGGAAAAAGTTTCCAATCTTGGCTGCTTATTACTGGGACAGTACAGTACTGTAGGTGCATTCTCTCTTGAAGCAGTGTTGCCAAGAAAAGAAGTATCTCACCGCGATTTTACGACTGGATAACCAAAAGAGACAAGATATATTGATTGATAGCATAAAATGATCATAAATAATGCCTTCAGTTGAAACTTGTATAGTACTACAGAAACACTTTCTCTTCAATCAGTCATACCAGTTTAAGAAGTGTCGCACAGCGAGACTTACGACTGCATGACAAAAAAGAGACAGTATGCATTAATTCCTTAAGTTAAATAAAAGTGGTCATTAAGAATGCCTTCAATTGAAACTTGTACAATACTGTAGAATGATGCAGTACTATATGTGCACTCTCTTGCTTTCTCTATTTGAAGCAGTCAATACGCAAGAAAAATTTCTAGCTTCCACCTACAGTACAGTGCTCAATTTCATAAATGGATTCGGTTATTGTAACAGGAGAGAATGTGAGCGCTTACTTTTGATAACATCCGTTAAAGTTGTTTTTCTAGGAAACATATTGCTATCACCAGTTTTGCATCGTTATTGTTGTTAACGACCTAAAACTAATCATCTTTTTACTCAATCAGATGTAGGGATCAGTAAAGCGCAGTTTAGAAAGCATATACTGCGATTCGGACTACTGATATTCAATTTTTGGACAGTGCTAGTCATGCTTCCCACATATACTATCCGTTCCATTTTTCTACATATTCTCGCTATAAGTGTATATATAAGTAGCGCAATGTCTACGTGATAAGATTCCTACTGAAACTATTATGCTTTCCAAACTCTATTCTCGCTAAGAAATTCGACTGAAATCGAAAAGGTAGGTAACCTCGCTAATCAACGCAAACTACTACAGTATATATATAGTACGTCTAAAAACCTTCTTGTCGACATTTCAAAAATCGTCAGATAGCGATTGATTTATCCATTCTATACGACCACGATTTCGTTACTCAGCTGTTTGGTGCTTACACACTTGTTATGCATACAGCAGGCGCTGACTGCTTCAGGTTTAATTAAATTAAAAAATCACTAGCAGCGGGATAGCATCAATCAACCTAAAAGCGTTACAAAAAAGTAACACTCCACCAAATAGAATTAATACAAGATACAAATGTTGAAGGAACGAATAATTTATTCTTAGTTTTATAGTACATAAAACAACATCACCAGCATGACCATTGAAATAGTTTATCGATGTTAAACATTCACCAACGATTACTTTAATGGCCAAATTATTTCTGGTAATCAGTAAATGCGATACATTACACTATGTCGGTATCCACGATTGGGTGCAACTGCAAAATCCTGTAAGAACAATAACAAACGACCCAAAACTATCATGGTCGAATGGCCAATCACACACATGTTGGTAGAGTAAGCTACAAGACTAAATACTTCGATAATTCACTACGTAACATAAAATCATGCTCGAACCACATATCTTTATAATTAACAACTTCCATGCACTTTTCAAATACAAGAGAAGAATGGTGATATAACGCTGATGTTGACGATTTCATTTTTTTCCCTCGATGTGCTTTTTACCAATGAAACGCTTTAAATTCCATTGTTGCTGATCCAACATATTCGGACCATTGTAAATGAATAACGCCGTCAATTTACCATCATAGCATAGATTTGGTAACAACTATCACACATAAAAGCATAAACAATAGTTACAAAAAACAAATCAATCATTAGCCAGTCCAGCAAAACAGTGAATTCACTCACCTTAGGCGTAATAAGTAAATATTGAGATACTTTAGAATTGGATGATACTTCTAGAACAAACTCGAATATCCTTTTTTCATTTTGTGGATCCATACCCTGAAAATATATCATAAGGGTACTACCATCACATTATAAAACTCCAAGGATAATCTAAATAAACGAAATTTAACACATTTCTACTATAATCGAGACCTGATTAATTTCATCGACAATTCTAAACGGACAAATAGTAAACTCTTGAAGGGAAATTAAGTAGATTATGGTAGCAACACTCCGCTCTCCACCACTTTGTAAATGACTATCTAGTAACTGAACTTTGTCGGTCGAACGAAACTTAACCCAAATTTCGATGGCAAACTTAGAAAAATCTTCATCCTGTTAAAAAAAGTAGGATTGATATGTAGCATGATATCAAAAAACCCCTAAAATTATAATTACTAATTCAAGACTATCAGTAACTTGGTAAAATATAATACATTACTCTATTGTACTTGATTACCTTATTTGTACGCAATTTTATTTCTCCAACACAATTTAACTTGTTAAAGAAATGTTGAAATTTCTGATCTATACCGGCAGTCATATGCTTAATACCTGTAGTCCAGCTTTGATAAGAGAGAGAGAATTTAAGGTCACGCAAGAATAAATGGATCATTGACAATTACCATTCTATCATTACCTATCAATGCATTCTTTTACTTTATACTTTTCAGCGCAGATCTTTCCTTTCATCTTTGAAATCTATAAGTAAGGAAATCAACAATAACGATGACCTTATACTACCAAAGCTCTAAGCGCAAGATTTGATTATGTCAACCTAGCATTAGTTGTGTTAGCCTCACAGAGCAGTAAAATACAGATAACAAAAGTACAATCAATACCTCATCAGTGAGCGCCGTTATAGCGGAATTATTCTTCTCATATTCATCAACAACCTAATATAAATAATCGTAGTAGCAATCAATCTACAACTCACAGTCCCTTACAAAAACATAAAAATAAATGCCGGCAGTTACAGATGCATCATCTTGAGTATTTAATTGCAATTTCGATTTCTCTGCCTGAATCTTTTCATTAATCTCTTCGATATCATCTGGCTCCAATGACAATCGCTATAAATTAAAAAGTTGCGCACATCTCGTTAGACCATTCTGTAGAAACATCGACCCCATTTAAGTCATTAAAAACATTTTATCCAAAGTATTGAAATAACAAAACAACTGAGCGTATTACTTCCTGTAGTTCCCTTGGTAGATTTTCTTTCTGTCCAACGTTACTTTCTTTCTTGGCAACATTTAATGCATTTTTAGCAGCATCCTTTAGCACTTGGGTCTCCCTCATTTTCCTAGCTCTTTGCTCCTAATTGATAAAGTTGATTTATTATCGCAGTATAGTAATCTCCAATCAATACAATACTCCTTCTTACAATGACATTTTCAGCTTCTTTTTCGGCCCTAGCCAATATTTCCGAATAGTATTCATATTCTCGGTTAATGTCTAACAATTTGACCAGGTCTATGACATTCTCTTTGACGCGGTCAACGTATTGCTTAAGCAATAGCAAATATACAACTTTATCAACTAAACCTATTATCAGTAAACATTACGACATGGACTATGTTGAAACCAACCCAATTAAGAAACCTACTCATACCTCTACAATACTCGCCATTCTTTTAGTTACTTCTAATTTCTCTTTGTCTATATTTTTTAAATTTTTAAATAGTTTCTTTTCTTCTTCGTCTTTATCAAAGTAGACAGCTTCTTCTTGTTCAATACTAGGAATAGAATGAAAATTTTATTTATTTGCAAAATCCTTCAAAATGATATCAACCTTAATTAGCCAACCTTTTCCGATATCCATTAATTTTAGTTTCTGAAACAACTATTCTAGACTTCTTATTTTCCACCATTTTCTAAGTATTACGAATTAATAAATGATACATTAATATCAATCTAAGGCTTACGCATACATAAGTGATAATAATAACTTACGTGTATGTCACAATTACTAATTACAAAATTAATCCGTTAAATTAACTACTACTAAATTTAGTTTGTCAAATATTTACTTTGCTATCATTTATTGTTGCAATCTCTGCCTCAATTGGTTTCAGATCTTCCTTAATTTTTGCAGTTTCAGACTGTACAGATCTGACTTGCTCTTGCAATTTAGATCTTTTCTTATTCAAAGTTTCGACTTGTTTTGTATCCACATTGTTATTAAGGTACTTTGCATCTCTAAAATTATCCAAAAAACAGAGTAATCCTTAGTAGTGTAAACTTGAACTATATAAAGAATACCACTTTAGCAGGACAATCAAGAAAAATCTATCGCTTAACACTTTCTAAGTATATATTCATCGGTGATAGCATGCAAAATTCCGAATACAGCAATACAAAAAAATGTCTTGCTAATTCATAACAATCAACAGACCTGATAGCTGTAATTCGGGTTGAAATTTCTCTTTGGCCATATCTCGATCGCCGAGAAACATGATGAGAATCTGCGGCATAAAAGTTGTCTATTTTCAAGTCACTTACAATCTAAAGCAAAATCAAGCAATTAATTACTTAATAATAAGCGAATAAATATCTACAAGTAATCACAACTAGCTGCATAGTCCTGTAATAAACAATCTAGTACATGCCTCGTGTTCAGATTCTGTTAGAGGTCTATTCCCAATTGGAACTTTATAAATTCCGTACTGACTGTACAAGTACTTTAAGACAGTACTTGGTGCATCAATTAGGGAATCCATGTAACAGCTAAAACCATACTTGCTAATAAATCAAACAATGGTATAATGATCATCAATAATAAGTCATTAATGAAACCTTTTTTGATAGGAGTTACTACGAGTTGAACACTATCAGTAATACAATATTCAAAATACCGAATGTTATCTATAGAATGATTCGGTTTATATTGATCCATCGGCTGACCATTGGGAACAATTGCATTGACCTTTAGCTTCTGTTTATCATGAACCTAATAAAGAAATACGAAAATGAAAATAAACATACTTATCCTGACCACATCATTTGTAACTTTTATCAAAGACCTATTTTGTAGCTATCATTACCTCCTGAAGGAACGTCTTCGAATCATCACTATTAGAGAAGACGAATGCCATCATATCGCGTAAAGCTATATGGTTCTCCACATATTTTGCATAACGTTGATCTCTTACATTGATCTGCAATAAAGCCATAAAATATATATTTAGTTTGGTTATCGATATTTGGTGTCAATTTTTAAGGCAGTTATACCTCAACTGCGATAGGACCCCAAATTTCAGTAGGATTCTTAAATTGGCGCTCATTCTTATTCTCATTTAGCCATTTTGCCGCCTGATAGGTATCCTTTGAATATCCCCTCACAATATCTAATCTTGCTGTCTTGACATCATTGGCTTTATTGAGATCTGTTTCAATATCTTCATATAAAAACAAAGCCAAGCAATATCTATGTTATTAATACAATCGTTTACATAAGGTATACAATTTACAAATGTGATACCTTTAATCTCTGTCGCTATGTCACGACAGCGCTCTTCGGCCATTTCCTTTTCCGATACAAGCATTCTCCGAGACGTTTCTAACTGGCGAAACTCAGATGACTTTTGAGCGATTTCTTGCTTTTAATTTAAGGTGCCGATATCAAAATCAATGCAAATTCATGAATAAACTTAAAAATCTATTAACAGGGACATTATTATTGTGGTTTACTTCCAACTCCTGCATGGGAGGAAAACATTTCAGCTCATCTTGAACACTGGTAAGCTTTCTTTTTAAATCATCTATTCTATATTAGTTAGAGATTATGATATTGTCATGCGTTACTACAAGGTATCAAAAGCTCCCTTCAGAGCCACAGTTATATACTCTCAAACCTTGTTGCTCTTTCTTGTTCCTGTGCCACTTTGAGTTTGAAATCATTCCTTAAATTTTCAGCCTATTTTGGACAGTAAACTTACCATTACTACATGATTAAAATAAAGAAATTGATTGCCATTGTCCATACACCTAATTCAATTAAAAAATTGAACGCTAAAGCCAACCTTCTTAATAAGTTTATAATTATCGCTTTTACAAGCTCGAATCTTGTTCTGGTCATTCTTTATATCCGTCGACTGTTTCAGAAATTGTAAGAGAAGAGTGTTACGTTATACTAATTGGCATGCAAACAATTTCATGTAAAACTTGACAACATCCTCTGAAGGATACAAACCTGTTTGTCGACTTTGGATTTTAAATTAGTACGCTTTTCTCTCAGCTTATCTATAGCATTTATCTGAGGCGTGTGAGATTCTCGTAATTCTTTTAATTCATCCTCTAGTTTCTGTAACTCTTTCTTACTGTGGAAATATTTCATTCGTTGGTTGTTATATTCCTGTCATTAAAAAAGGTGGCAGTGTGTGTAAAGGTTACTTTAATCAACGTACTTGAAAATAAAGGATTAAACTACTAAGATAGGCAACAACTGCTAAATGCTGAAATACATACCACCCAACAGCGTTTTATTTTAAGTAGTCGAAGTTTATCTTGATGCTTTTCGCGTTCTCGATATCTTTGCACTCTTTGATGCAACACTTGATTTTTACTTTCAAGATCTTTTAAATGTTCTTCCCTTTTGTTAATTTCTTTCTAATTTTAAATAGTGCAAGAAGCCAGAAAGAATTATCCGCAACACGCAATTACCTTAAGAAGAAAATGAACAGAGGAAATAGATTTTTAATCACGCCAAGGCTAAATTTTACCATATGATTGTCTTCTCCAGATCGAAAATTTAATAATTTTTGATGTTTTTGATATAACTCTGGATTGATCTGTGTTTAAATAAATTGCAACTAGTTCATAAAAGGGCTTCTGTAGAAGTAGAATGCGGCAAGTCATAACCGTTTTTTCCGTTTCCTTCAATAAATCTTCGTTTGACAACCTAGCAAATTCTACTACTTTGTCCTTTAGATAAATTACGGAAACATGTAAGCATATGTTAGTACAGTCTTTACCAATTTTGATAGAAGATAAAGTTTAGATGCCCAAATAAATCTACTTGTAATTTTATTACTACTTTCCACTGAGTAGAGCAGTAGAATTATTGTACAGCATAGACTCACTTGAGGTAGAAATTGGCAAAGATTATCCACTTGAATGTTGAAAGATTTAACTAATTCTGCAACCTACAATAGGGTAATAAATGCATTATGACGATCTTTCGTCTATTTGAGCCATGAGCAAAAATCAAATCACCGAATGCAAAACAGTATCTCCCGTACCTTTTTTTTAGAACTTTGTGTTCCATTTATGAACCAGTTACTAGTACTGCCTTGCATATCGCTATTTTGCTTAAAAACTGATTTAATAACGGTATTTGGTGGTGGATTGAATCTGCGATGGAAAATTGATAGTTATATCAGGGCAACAATTTGTGATGAGACCGCATTGACAATCACACACAGCGTAAGGGCCTTTGCGAATATTTATCAGCCTAACACTGTCTATGGTCCCCTATTGTAAACTGATTTTATTTGATACATCATGCAATAATCCTGTGAACGATTTTCAGTACAAAGAATCTATACCTTCATTAAAATGGAAATAGCGGCCTAGCGTCAGCTCTACTACTACTACTAGTGCTTAACAAGAACCCTCGAACGGAATAATGATGAATACGTATATTAAAGGAATCATCCATTCAAATCCATAAAGTAGATATTTCTCTCCTTGTAAAGTAGGAATAAGTCGGCTGAATCGGCCCATTCACTCACTATTTGTAAAGGATAGGCTATTTGTGCGTTATTGCTGCGATTGAAGTCGAAAATTGTGGCAGTAAACACTAATGCGGTTCCAGCTGCAAGTCTCATTTAATTCACGTTACGATAGAACATGGTACTTACAGGGTAATTTCTACAATAGCTTCCATTTGGCCATGCTTGATAAAATCTTTGATCTAGATAAAGTAAAAAAATATTAATTTAATATATGATGACCAAACTCTGTTTAGCGCCATTCCATCAATATTTTCGGGAATGTGTTAGAGTCGTGGGCACTGTCAACAAGTATTTGAGCAGCTCGAGTCGTTTGTTATCAAGATATGGCGACGAGTTTGCAAATCTTCTAACTGATAAAAACATTCGATTTAGGCATTGTTGTGTCAGTCAAGCCTGTCCTTTAATTAATTATCATTTCAATTTCATATTTTGAGGGCAGTTTAGGTACACAGAATTCCATTTGTAATCCGTACCGCTGCAATGCACTGGAGATACTAGCACTTATGACAACGATAACAATTTCTGCCTCTTGTGGTATTTTTAATGTCTACTGTTCATTTTATTGGACCGCATAGCTTCATGGATGCTTCATTTCCGATTCGCTTTCATGTAACGAGCTATGCAAGCGTTTTCTTGTCGTTGTTTGCAGCCGTAATGCCGCGCCATCAATTGATTACTGTATATCGAATAGCTTTATAGTATATCATGGCAATGACGACAGCTATTCTAGCATTATCATTAGATTAATTGCCCATTTTGTACACTCTGAGTTTGATTATTCATTTGGATTGCATGGTATCATATAGCATTGATTGATTTCAATCCAGATTACGCTAGTATTATTCCATTAGATTGTACTGGAGATCAGAGGCCAAGTGGATGATCAAATAATAACCATGCATACAATTATGACTAGCATGGGCAGGAAAATCAACACGAAATACGCTTACTTACTTGCTTAGCTCTACCCAAAACACTCGGAGAACCTGCTAATCCTAGACATACTGCACACACAATGGAAGATTTACCAGATCCTAACATGCATAGAACCATAATATCGTTTGTCAACTTCGAACTTTTTTAGCTCAAGAACTGTATTTAAGCGTAAGTTAATTCGATCATCCTTAACTTCCATCAGCATCAAACTAGCTATTCTCTACCTACCGTTGGGTCCTGCGACTAAGTTCATTTTTGGACCAAAACGAAATTTACAATCCGAGTAAGTCCTATATCCAGCAACATAGAAACAGCATTCTGTTAAGGAAGATCATCAATCTGAATAGAAGATGGCTATTTCAATTCATAGACATAAGTCTTTCATTGGAATGCAATGCCATTACAAGAAATTTTTGAGGCGGATTTCCAACAGCGAGCCTCGGGAGTATTGCTGTTCATCTGCAACGCTGCTATCCATTAGCAAAATTAAGGCATAAAATCAAGACACCACTAATCAACAAGTCATAATTAACAATTGCAGACTAATTAAGCGGTCGATTCTAGAGGATAAGCCAATCCTATAGGCTTTTCTAGCGGTAACGATCGGAAAAATGGAGGAAGCGCCGCCAGTCGTCGAGCTTGATCACTGTAGTTGCTGTTAAAAACTGGCAACAAGAATGGGTCGGGCTACGGACTGCGGAAATCCAGACACGATCCCAGCCGATCTGGCCTGCACCAGAGTAGGCTGTTTCAAACAGTCTGAAGATTCCATACTACACTATCATCCATCGCTATCAGCAGCATGACGAGGCTGGAGTTCAATCACACTGTATTAGCATGACATCTCAAACATAGCTGCGCATTCCATACAATCTCTACAGTCTGCGACTTGTTCTTCAAGTGATGAAATACGTGTTGGCGCGTAACTTTGCTTGACGACTTTAGTCGCTACTCAGACCATTTCACGAGGCGAAATAGCTGCTATACTCTCTACTAATCGCATCCAAATTCGCTGCAAACTGCTGCTAAGTTGGTTTTGTACAGTATGATCTAGTTATACGCTTTCATTGATACGATATAGTAGAATGAGCGGAAAAATGATCAGCCTCCACTTTATTTTGTATCGAAAGTGGCCTGTCCCCTCCTCTGTCCCCTCCTTCCTCGTTTGTCGCCCTTGTAGAGACAGACTCCGGGACAGTCGGACATGGAGCGTGTCAATAATCTCAATATAACTCGACACAAACAGTCGAGCTACTTAATCAATAGCCAGAAGCTCTACCAAAGCACGCGAACAGTCTTCAACTCAATACGAGCTAGTCTGAAAGATCTTTGCTTCGATTTTTAAGCCTACGGAAGATGGCACTGTGATTGATTAGCTGAGTACCGGACCGGCACGGCACGGTTCTCTTCTAGTAGTCCGTGACTGATTACTAGTAGTACTGTGGACGTTCGCCAGTTTTAATGAACGAACTTACGAACGTCCAATTTGAACGTCGGACGTTCATTGAACGTACCAACGTACAGTACACAGTGTACAGTGTTAACACTACAGTATATAGTGTACACTGTACAGTATGGTATAAGACTATACTATACTGTACTGTACACTGTACACTGTACATACAGTACAGTAGTACAGTACGTAACAGCGTACAGTATACTGTAGTCATGACTCTGAAATACAAAGTGTTGTAAAAGACGTTTGTACTACTGTACTGTATAGTATTGGGGTGGGATTATACAAACTGACTGTATACACTGTACTGTACACTGTACACTGTACAGTACAGTTCGTCGACGTCCGATCTGACAACGAACGTACATACCGAACGTCCAAAATCGAACGTCCGTTGGGCGTCCAATCGCTCGACGTCTACAGCACTAATTACTAGTAGCACAGTACAGTACACTGTGTACAGTGTACAGTGTACAGTATAGTGAGTGTACAGTACTGTGTACTGTACACTCACGTGTACACATCGAAGTTCAAATTCAAATCAGGGAAAGGGAAAATTATCAAGATAGAAGATAACTTTGCCAAATTTATTAAATAAAATAGAAGGTGATGTCACGTGGCAAAGTAAACGCAGCCGCAGCCCTGTATAATATAATATATATTTTGTGACATGATATAGATTGAATCGATAGATAATAAAGTTTCATCAGCCATCAATTAATTCAGTAATGAAGCAAGTAAGCAGCTCATCGTTGGCCTGCCTATCGTGGACACATTGAGGATATCATTTTAGATACACACTTTAGTTGAGATAACCAGCAAATTGTTAGCTCGTATCCTTATTAAATGCTTGAACGACTGCTGCCTATTCGCCTCTCTTTCGGTTTACTGTTAGCATTGTTAGTACAGTTGCTGTTGCTGTTGTTTTGGTGGGTAGATAAATAATTGATTAGAATAGAATCCCTTGTTCAAGGTAACATATAGCTCGCCTCAACATAGGAACTGTGCACAAGTCGACTGGATATAGTAACTACAAGCAGAAAGCAATCTGAACTGATTGTCACACTCCGATGCACAGTAATGTCTCCACTGTAAACACTGCCGTTCAAGTGTTCACACAACTTATTTATGAACTCAATTTCTTATAGGTGGAATTGATCTGTTATGCAAGATGATGATGATGATAGCAGCTTATAAATTACTCCACTAGTTCAAGTTGCTTACCACTTCAAATAGGTCAACGTGGAAGAATCCATGGCTACCATTGCATCGCCAATCTATTGGGGACTAGATCCTCTCTTTTCAGCTCATATCAAATTATTGATTCGAGATGTCGACCATTTATTGGCTGTCAAAGATTTCACCAACGTCTACCTCTATCACGACCACATTATTTACAAAGTGGAAATCATGGGAGATGTTGTCAGCGTAGTCAAGAAAAATAAATTGGACGAAATTGTACTGGATGATGGTACCGGCAGAATTTCTTGCACGCTGTGGAAAGATCGAGATAAAATCCGAGACTGCAAATTAGGTGATTTAGTCACTATTATGGGCAGAGTGACTGAAGGCTACCGTGATAGCGGTAAAAGAATTGTTGTCCAACGCCTGGTTAATGATACGTTACGCCCTAATATCGAGTATAAAAGATGGAAGGATATCATTCAACTCCATCAACGAGTTTATACATGCAATGCATCTATAACGCTACCACTGGGCAAGAAGCAATCTTGCCAGCAATGGACTGATACTCAAAGAGACACCCTCATTCAAGATGTGATACGCAAGCAATTACAAACAACTGGCAACCATTCATTTCTTTATCAGGAGATGTTGGCCCATACAATACAAACATGCCAAACTCCAAACAATCCTGCCCAAGATATACAAGCATCGTTCGATAAAGTATTAAAAATCATGGTACTCCACGGTGAATTGTTAATGAAAGACTTCGATGGCAATTGCTTTCAACTTATCAATCCTAGCGGTGATCTTGCTCAATTGATATTGGAAATTATGCAAGAAAAAACAACCGTTGAACTACAACAACTATGCTATCTTCTTCGATCTACCCTAACGTATGCACATCTACGTAAAGATACCGTCATCAAGGCATTAACCTATTTAGAAGAACAAAGCTTTATTTATAGCCCTCAATCCAATGTGTACAAGTACATTTTCGGTAAAGCCAAATAGCCAATGCATTTATTAAAACATATTAACCCATCTAAGATGGAAAATTGTATTTTGGGATGCTATTAAAAGTGCCATACCAGGCATAGATACAAGAAAAGAAAATATCAATAACTTGTAATAGATCATCTGTATAATGCATATCTAAACCAACAACTTTTAATCAATCAATCTTTTCGCTCTACACATACAATTCCAATTAATGAACAAGCAACCAATGCAACTATACAGCATAACAAATCACACTCGATATCATTATAAAATTTTTATCATGTATATTATTCATTTTGCTACTTTTTTTGAAATTCTTCAATCTGTTTCTTTAAATGACTTAATTTTTTATAAAGTTGGTACAATTTGCTCTTATCCTTACTGTAGGAGGTATCCTGCTTAGTAGAAAGGATAAAACATGCCACAATTGAATATTTAATTTAAGAGACAGTACACTTACAGTCCTTAGCTGTTGTAATAATTACCGCTTACCTTAGTGATGTCATCATACTTCTTTAAAACTTCATCGGTAATTTCCTGCAAGATCGAAAATAGCTGTTATTATCAACATCATACCAATGTGTCAATAGTGTTTAGCAAAGTAGAATTGATCGGCCTTGTAGAGTACAACTTGCCCGGTATTTACTGCTGTTTTCAGGAAGACTTTCCAACTGTTTCTGTTTCTCTCTAAAAAAGTCAGCAATATCACTATACCTTTCTTTAAGCTTTGTATATTCTGTATAATCTTTGTTAAAAATGCGTTTATAGCGATCTCTCTCTGCCATAGCAGTTATGGTTGGATACATCCTACCATTGAAAGACAACAATGTTATGACCACGCATTTTCCGGTCCATTGAAAAATGCAATAAAATTTTAATTGTTAAATGATCTTATTTGTACTGCCGACGCAACTGTGATGAACTTACGCCAGATAATCGATTTCGCCCGCTTTATCATTTACAGCGCTAATAATTGAGTTTAAGTTTTCTATTAAAATAAAATTCCACATTTAGTTATTCCCCAATGAAATTGCTTATACTTGTCACCATAAAAGATTACCAAGTTTTGATCTCTTTTCTGGCTGCTTTACAGTCTTTTCAAATTCCGTTTCGTGGATATTTCTCTTCGTTTTCTTAATGGACGTTGCAGGCTGCGCGTCACCATGGGGCCACTTTTTATCCGACCCTGAAGGAGGATTTGTAGAGACTGATTTTTTCGGGCTAGGTTTATGTTTTTCTTGCTAAAAATTTTAATTGACCAAAATTTGTTATTATACTCATCTATCTTACAGAGAAATTGAGGCACATAGTACTGTATTGCAATATCAAAGGGGCTAACCTTTGCGTCGGTACGTCTAGCATTCGATGACGACTGGGATATATTTACATTGTCACGTAAAGCATTGGAGCAATACTTAGAAATATTTCTGCAACCAAAAGCATTTCAGCCATTACACTATTTCGTTATTAACTAAACTATATTACGCCTATTATTGACTTGGGATAATGTATCAGTAAGTACTTGATAATACTCACAAAGCAACTAAGCGCTTATCATTTTCCGTATAGGAGGAAAACTTATCCACCTAGGATAAAATTTTTGAAATTGTTTACCATGAATGACTAATTGATTTTTCAATATTAGTACATCATGAATGAACATGCCTACAGTAGTAATTGTGAATACAGTCACTACAACTATTATGACTATCAATTTGCTGAAATATAGCTCATCAATATTATCTTAACGATTAGTACCTGCACTTCGGAGTACAAGTGTTTATGTAGATAAAATTTATTATTTTTCATAACGGCAACCTATATTTTAGAATAGGGTTGTTTCATGCTGGATTAGTTTTACAGAAATGAATGTAACATTGTATGATAATCTTAGCGTTCTACATACTATACATACCTCTTTCAAGATGCTACCTAGTCTATTTGTATCTTTCTTGTTGGCTCGTCCATCTAGAATGCATTGATATGAACGTAAAGCAACGATTGACGAACAGTTATTATCACTTCAATACAATTTAGTTCAATTTTGATACCACAGGTCAGAATGCTACCTTTATGTAATCTAGTGAGAAGTTCTAATTTGTTGAGAGGCTGGATCGCTAAATAATGAATAACTCGATCTCTATGATAAAATGATATAATAAGCGTAGTATTTAAATAGAGTTGTCATTCTTTAGGCAAGTAGCACTACACAATTATAAATCGTTACAAAGTTGTCATACTTATAAGGCTTATTGCTCGATGTAGTAACGTAATTTGTCGACCGTGAAGGCAAAAGTGGTTTACTGGCAGGAATTGTACGAGTTGGGCGAAGTAGAACTGGCTTGGATTTATTGCGCCCACCTTTCGTAGCTATAAAGACAAGGAAACATGTATTGGTAACATCACTTTGAAGCTAACATTAGCCGTCAATAGCACTATCCTCAACGATAACCAATAGATCAAACCTTTACTGACTGGATTGACCAACTTGGCCCTAAAATCAACAATTCAATTGATTGGTCAAGTAGCTGCAATTCGGTTAAAAAGTTGCAAGAGTATCATTTTAGTCATGAAATCCTACCGTGATTCTTTGCGTTCTTCTTCCGCTTTCTCCATTTTGATTTTTGTCTTGGCGTAAATTTCATCAGTAGCTTGAATGGACATCCTGGTAGTGATACTCCCTTCATAGATCATTTTATCCGAATGAGATTGGTGCATAGAATAGCATTCAAAGGGACCCCGATCTTCCGGTAAGGTTGTACAAGAGAACTGAAAGTCTCTGCCTCCATTTTTATCCGGTATGAAAATTCTCTAATGAGTGGAATAAGATTAATACTTTGAAAATGCCAACGGCAAGCTATTTGTCACCAATTACCCTTATTAAGTGTCGATTACGTCTAATCCAGATCAATCAATAGGTAAAAATTACACTGTTTCCATCACAGCCAATGGAAAGTGATGGCAAACTACATTAGAGCAATGCCCAAGTTGCTGTCGTAAATTGATCATCGTTTTCAACTACTTTATCAATTGACTATAATCTATTTACTGATATTATATTAAAAGTACAGTATCCAAGTATTTTGAACGACAAATAAAGTAGTAAAACATAGAACGCCTGCCTAATGCATTTTGTCCACGCTATTACACAGTCCTAGAATAAGTATGGCAGACAATGATGATCAAAACGACTCAATCAAGCCAATGTCATTTCATTAGTATCAAGCCTTACCCCAGTCTTGCCATCACATGATAACGTTGGGTGATCTTCATTTAATTTCTGTAAGATTCAATTTCACAAGAAATGACAATTACTACGTGTGGATCAAGTTTGATAATAACATGGTTTGCACATCATCATTGCTATGCTCCATGTATTTGTACTGCAGTCAATGGATAAATTATTGCAAAGATCGGGAAATGGTTCCCTTCTTCATTGTTGATAAATAAAACTGCCGACTATACAGTGTCGCTTGATAGAACAATTTCGCTCTAGGACGCTAGTAAATAGGAAAGTTATCCCTGTCGGAGATGAGTCCACAAAGCATAAGAATAGGACTAATATATCTACTGTCCGTCTACCTAGTGTACATGTTCTATTGGGAAGTCAATAACATCCTTTTAAGGTATGCTATATCGGCATGCTGCGGTTCCATTTCCAACTATCCTACCGTCGATAGATTGAGAGTGGATAGCTTTAATGGATACTATTCTATTCAGTGCAGGGGAAAAAAACTAAATGCACTTTTAATCCATTTAACATGGGTACGTTAAGCCAATTCAAATGTACCCATCGCTACTGATGTAGCCAATCTAAGCAAACTCATCCTTCTCGAGCGGCAAGGATGACAATCCTTTTTTAAGCGAGATGATGAAGGCAGTTTAAGGAAGTTTAAGGATTGTTTGTTCCGAATCGAGTAAGAAGCAAACAAATGTAGTGATATTACTTACCAATGCGAACTTGATATAACTGTCCAAAGCATTTAAACAACTATCTGTCAATTTAACTTGAACAGCAACGATAGAATCATCCGTCGATCGATTTCGAGACAGAGTATAATTGCCACTTTGAATGGAAGACATGATCCAACAAGCAATGTTTCCAGTATGGAAGAATCAAGAAGTGTTGGATGGGCTAGCGAAGACAACAAGCCAATCAATGACCACGATATCAATGAATTTCTAAGCAATGAATGGTCAATTTCAAGGTAAAATCCAATGCTGTCCAAGCACTTTCCTTCATCAGTCAATCGCTTTCCAGGATGGATTTGTCGCCGACTAGATAAATCGGCAAATGATAACCGAGTTCTTTTTCGATATTATCTAGCGCTACTCTAGCTGATGACGGTGTCAATTCTCGTACCGGCCGTCTCGTTGGCACCCTGCTTTACCAGACGAGAAACGATTGGAACGAGTTGGTTGTCAAGGCAAGAAATTTTTTCATCCACTTGATCAAATGGTCGACAATCTGTTCGAGTTAGAGGAGACAATCTGAAAGTAAGGCACTCGGCTGCTCATCAATAAGTAGAGACTTGCCAGCGATGGTAATGGAGTGACTATGGAGGACGGAAAGGGGGATGTGCCACTACTTCCACTTCAACGATAGACTAGTACACTACAGTACTATACGCTAGACACTGGCGTACGGTGCAATCGATAGGCGAAGAGGAAAGGATTACCGTACTTTCTTGCCCTTTCCCTACCCGCTCGAGTATGGAGTATTTGGCAGCAACCTCTTTTAAAAGAGACCTCGGCAGGGAGTCTAATGATGGAGTCTAAAAAGGGACAGCCCTTCTATTTCCCCTTCTTTTCACGAGGTTGTCAAGCTATCCTACTTGCAGCTTTGGACAGTAATGGATTGAGTTAATCCTAAACCGACATGGTACTGTAGACCATTGTCGACGATGGCAGTAGGACTTGTCATTCTCTCTTTCTCTCCTAAAATGCAAAGTTGAATGCATTTCCTCTGCCATGTTGCAGTAGCGGAGACGAAGACAAGACCGTAGAGTAGTCTCTTTTGACAGCAGTTCTACCGAGAATACAAGTATATTACTGAGATTTGATGGCTGGACTACAAAAGAGAGACAGCATGCATTGATCGATCATTCAAATAGGCGTACAAGTCTTGAAAAGTTGCCTATGCGAACTACTTGTTAAGACGGCAATCACTGCAGTGTACTGTATAGGGCTAGCAAGGGATGCATCTCAATCTTCTCATTCCACGATTCAACTCCTAAAAAGAGACCGTATGCATTGATACTTTGCATAAAATGGTCATTTCCAAATACACGTACAAGCCTTAAAAAGTTTCAAGTCTTTACTGTTTGCTGATACAGTACAATATTGTAGACGCACTCTTGAGAGAGAGAAGCAGTTCTGCTACCAAAGGAAGTGTCTCACGGATACTCTGTGACTAAACTACAAAAAGAGATGGATAGCATGAATTCATTCTAAACATGAAATGGTCATTTAAATATGCTTGTACAAGTCTTGACTGCTTACTGATAGGTACTGTAGACGCATTCTCTCTCCAAGCAGTCCTGCCACAAAAGGAAGTGTCCCGATTATTTGACTGCATGACTCGATTACAGAAAGAACGCAGCATGCATTTGATTCTTGCTTAAAATGGTCATTCAAGTACGCGTACTAGCCTTAAATGAAGATTATGAAAAAATATCATGCCTTAGAAAAGAAAATATCTCATTGAGACTAGCAAAGGAGAGACAGCATGCATTGATTCTTTACACCAATGGTCATTCAAATACGAGGGTATGTCTTGAATATCAAATTGGAAAAAGTTTCCAATCTTGACCGTTTATTACTGGGACAGTACAGTATTCTAGGTGCATTCTCTCTTGAAGCAGTGTTGCCGAGAAAAGAAGTATCTCACCGAGATTTTACGACTGGATAACCAAAAGAGACAAGATATATTGATTGATAGCATAAAATGATCATAAATAATGCCTTCAGTTGAAACTTGTATAGTACTACAGAAACACTCTCTCTTCAATCAGTCCTACCAGTTAAGGAAATGTCGCACGGCGATACTTACGACTGCATGACAAAAAAGAGACAGTATGCATTAATTCCTTAAGCTAAATAAAAGTGGTCATTAAAAATGCCTTCAATTGAAACTTGTGCAATACTGTGGAATAATGCAGTACTAGATGTGCACTCTCTTGCTTTCTCTATTTGAAGCAGTCAATACGCAAGAAAAATTTCTAACTTCCACCTACAGTACTCAAATTCACAAATGGATTCGGTTATTGTAACAGGAGAGAACGTGAGCGCTTACTTTTAATAACATTGAAGTTGTTTTTCTAAGAAACATATTGCTATCATCAGTTTTGCATCGTTATTGTTGTTAACGACCTAAAACTAATCATCTTTTTACTCAATCAGATGTAGGGATCAGTAAAGCGCAGTTTAGGAAGCATATACTGCGATTCGGACTACTGATATTCAATTTTTGGACAGTGCTAGTCATGCTTCCCACATATATAATCCGTTCCATTTTTCTACATATTCTCGCTATAAGTGTATATATAAATAGCGCAATGTCTACGTGATAAGATTCCTACTGAAACTATTATGCTTTCCAAACTCTATTCTCGCTAAGAAATTCGACTGAAATCGAAATGGTAGGTAACCTCGCTAATCAACGCAAACTACTACAGTATATATACAGTACGTCTAAAAACCTTCTTGTCGACATTTCGAAAATCGTCAGATAGCGATTGATTTATCCGTTCTGTATGACCACATTTCGCTACTCACCTGTTTGGTGCTTACACACTTGTTATGCATACAGCAGGCGCTGACTGCTTCAGGTCTAATTAAATTAAAAAAAATCACTAGCAGCGGGATAGCATCAATCAACCTAAAAGCGCTCCACCAAATGGAATTAATACAAGATACAAATGTTGAAGGAACGAATAATTTATTCTTAGTTTTATAGTACATAAAACAATATCACCAGCATGACCATTGAAATAGTTTATCGATGTTAAACATTCATCAGCGATTACTTTAATGGCCAAATTATTTCTGGTAATCAATAAATGCGATACATTACACTATGTCGGTATCCACGATTGGGTGCAACTGCAAAATCCTGTAAGAACAATAACAAACGACCCAAAACTATCATGGTCGAATGGCCAATCACATACATGTTGGTAGACTAAGCTACAAGACTAAATACTTCGATAATTCACTACGTAACATAAAATCATGCTCGAACCACATATCTTTACAATTAACAACTTCCATGCACTTTTCAAATACAAGAGAAGAATGGTGATATAACGCTGATGTTGACGATTTCATTTTTTTCCCTCGATGTGCTTTTTACCAATGAAACGCTTTAAATTCCATTGTTGCTGATCCAACATATTCGGACCATTGTAAATGAATAACGCCGTCAATTTACCATCATAGCATAGATTTGGTAACAACTATCACACATAAAAGCATAAACAATAGTTACAAAAAACAAATCAATCATTAGCCAGTCCAGCAAAACAGTGAATTGACTCACCTTAGGCGTAATAAGTAAATATTGAGATACTTTAGAATTGGATGATACTTCTAGAACAAACTCGAATATCCTTTTTTCATTTTGTGGATCCATACCCTGAAAATATATCATAAGGGTACTACCATCACATTATAAAACTCCAAAGATAATCTAAATAAACGAAACTCAACACATTTCTACTATAATCGAGACCTGATTAATTTCATCGACAATTCTAAACGGACAAATAGTAAACTCTTGAAGGGAAATTAAGTAGATTATGGTAGCAACACTCCGCTCTCCACCACTTTGTAAATGACTATCTAGTAACTGAACTTTGTCGGTCGAACGAAACTTAACCCAAATTTCGATGGCAAACTTAGAAAAATCTTCATCCTGTTAAAAAAAGTAGGATTGATATGTAGCATGATATCAAAAAACCCCTAAAATTATAATTACTAATTCAAGACTATCAGTAACTTGGTAAAATATAATACATTACTCTATTGTACTTGATTACCTTATTTGTACGCAATTTTATTTCTCCAACACAATTTAACTTGTTAAAGAAATGTTGAAATTTCTGATCTATACCGGCAGTCATATGCTTAATACCTGTAGTCCAGCTTTGATAAGAGAGAGAGAATTTAAGGTCACGCAAGAATAAATGGATCATTGACAATTACCATTCTATCATTACCTATCAATGCATTCTTTTACTTTATACTTTTCAGCGTAGATCTTTCCTTTCATCTTTGAAATCTATAAATAAGGAAATCAACAATAACGATGACCTTATACTACCAAAGCTCTAAGCGCAAGATTTGACTATGTCAACCTAGCATTAGTTGTGTTAGCCTCACAGAGCAGTAAAATACCGATAACAAAAGTGCAATCAATACCTCTTTCTTAAGCGCCGTTATAGCAGAATTATTCTTCTCATATTCATCAACAACCTAATATAAATAATCGTAGTAGCAATCAATCTACAACTCACAGTCCCTTACAAAAACATAAAAATAAATGCCGGCAGTTACAGATGCATCATCTTGAGTATTTAATTGCAATTTCGATTTCTCTGCCTGAATCTTTTCATTAATCTCTTCGATATCATCTGGCTCCAGTGACAATTGCTATAAATTAAAAAGTTACGCACATCTCGTTAGACCATTCTGTAGAAACATCGACCCCATTTAAGTCATTAAAAACATTTTATCCAAAGTATTGAAATAACAAAACAACTGAGCGTATTACTTCCTGTAGTTCCCTTGGTAGATTTTCTTTCTGTCCAACGTTACTTTCTTTCTTGGCAACATTTAATGCATTCTTAGCAGCATCCTTTAGCACTTGAGTCTCCTTCATTTTCCTAGCTCTTTGCTCCTAATGATTTAAGTTGATAAACTTAGTTTATTATCGCAGTATAGTAATCTCCAATCAATACAATACTCCTTCTTACAATGACATCTGTAGCTTCTTTTTCGGCCCTAGCCAATATTTCCGAATAGTATTCATATTCTCGGTTAATGTCTAACAATTTGACCAGGTCTATGACATTCTTTTTGACGCGGTCAACGTATTGCTTAAGCAATAGCAAAAATACAACTTTATCAACTAAACCTATTATCAGTAAACATTACGACATGGACTATGTTGAAACCAACCCAATTAAGAAACCTACTCATACCTCTACAATACTCGCCATTCTTTTAGTTAATTCTAATTTCTCTTTGTCTATATTTTTTAAATTTTTAAATAGTTTATTTTCTTCTTCGTCTTTATCAAAGTAGACAGCTTCTTCTTGTTCAATACTAGGAATAGAATGAAAATTTTATTCAATTGCAAAATCCTTCAAAATGATATCAACCTTAATTAGCCAACCTTTTCCGATATCCATTAATTTTAGTTTCTAAAACAACTATTCTAGACTTCCTATTTTCCATTATTTTCTAAGTATTACGAGTTAATAAATGCTACATTAATATCAATCTAAGGCTTACGCATACATAAGTGATAATAATAACTTACGTGTATGTCACAATTACTAATTACAAAATTAATCCGTTAAATTAACTACTACTAAATTTAGTTTGTCAAATATTTACTTTGCTTTGATTTATTGTTGCAATCTCTGCCTCAATTGGTTTAAGATTTTCCTTAATATTTGCAATTTCAGACTGTACAGATCTGACTTGCTCTTGCAATTCAGATCTTCTGTTATTCAAGGCTTCGACATGTTCTGTATCCACATTGATATTAAGGTACCTTGCATCTCTAAAATTATCCAAAAAACAGAGTAATCCTTAGTAGTGTAAACTTGAACTATATAAAGAATACCACTTTAGCAGGACGATCAAACAACATCTATTGCTAAACACTTTCTAAGTATATATCCATCGGTGATAGCATGCAAAATTCCGAATACAGCAATACAAAAAAATGTCTTGCTAATTCGTAACAATCAACAGACCTGATAGCTGTAATTCGTGTTGAAATTTCTCTTTGGCCATATCTCGATCGCCGACAAACATGATGATCATTTGCGACATAAAAGTCGTCTATTTTCAAGTCACTTACAATCTACAGCAAAATCAAGCAATTAATTACTTAATAATAAGCGAATAAATATCTACAAGTAATCACAACTAGCTGTAAAGTCCTGTAATAACCAATCTAGTACATGCCTTCTTTGTATGTCGTGTTACAGATTCATTCCCAATTGGAACTTTATAAATTCTGTACTGACTGTACAAGTACTTTAAGACAGTACTTGGTGCATCAATTAGGGAATTCATGTAACAGCTAAAACCATACTTGCTAATAAATTAAACAATGGTATAATGATCATCAATAATAAGTCATTAATGAAACCTTTTTGATAGGAGTTACTACGAGTTGAACACTATCAGTAATACAATATTCAAAATACCGAATGTTATCTATAGAATGAATCGGTTTATATTGATCCATCGGCTGACCATTGGGAACAATTGCATTGACATTTAGCTTCTGTTTATCACGAACCTAATAAAGAAATATGAAAATGAAAATAAACATACTTATCCTGACCACGTCATTTGTAACTTTTATCAAAGACCTATTTTGTAGCTATCATTACCTCCTGAAGGAACGTCTTCGAATCATCACTATTAGAGAAGACGAATGCCATCATATCGCGTAAAGCTATATGGTTCTCCACATATTTTGCACAACGTTGATCTCTTACATTGATCTGCAATAAAGCCGTAAAATATATGTTTAGTTTGGTTATCGATATCTGGCGTCAATTTTTAAGGCAGTTATACCTCAACTGCGATAGGACCCCAAATTTCAGTAGGATTCTTAAATTGGCGTTCATTCTTATTCTCATTTAGCCATTTTGCCGCCTGATAGGTATCCTTTGAATAGCCCCTCACAATATCTAATCTTGCTGTCTTGACATCATTGGCTTTATTGAGATCTGTTTCAATATCTTCATATAAAAACAAAGCCAAGCAATATCTATGTTATTAATACAATCGTTTACATAAGGTATACAATTTATAAATGTAACACCTTTAATCTCTGTCGCTATGTCACGACAGCGCCCTTCGGCCATTTCCTTTTCCGGTACAAGCATTCTCCGAGACGTTTCTAACTGGCGAAACTCAGATGACTTTTGAGCGATTTCTTGCTTTTAATTTAAGGTGCCGATATCAAAATCAATGCAAATTCATGAATAAACTTAAAAATCTATTAACAGGGACATTATTATTGTGGTTTACTTCCAACTCCTGCATGGGAGGAAAACATTTCAGCTCATCTTGAACACTGGCAAGCTTTCTTTTTAAATCATCTATTCTATATTAGTTAGAGATTATGATATTGTCATGCGTTACTACAAGGTATCAAAAGCTCCCTTCAGAGCCACAGTTATATACTCTCAAACCTTGTTACTCTTTCTTGGTTATGTTTCTCTTTGAGTTTGAAATCATTCCTTAAATTTTCAGCCTATTTTGGACAGTAAACTTACCATTACTACATGATTAAAATAAAGAAATTGATTGCCATTGTCCATACACCTAATTCAATTAAAAAATTGAACGCTAAAGCCAACCTTCTTAATAAGTTTATAATTATCGCTTTTACAAGCTCGAATCTTGTTCTGGTCATTCTTTATATCCGTCGACTGTTTCAGAAATTGTAAGAGAAGAGTGTTACGTTATACTAATTGGCATGCAAACAATTTCATGTAAAACTTGACAACATCCTCTGAAGGATACAAACCTGTTTGTCGACTTTGAATTTTAAATTAGTACGCTTTTCTCTCAGCTTATCTATAGCATTTATCTGAGGCGTGTGAGATTCTCGTAATGCTTTTAATTCATCCTCTAGTTTCTGTAACTCTTTCTTACTGTGGAAATATTTCATTCGTTGGTTGTTATATTCCTGTCATTAAAAAAGGTGGCAGTGTGTGTAAAGGTTACTTTAATCAACGTACTTGAAAATAAAGGATTAAACTACTAAGATAGGCAACAACTGCTAAATGCTGAAATACATACCACCCAACAGCGTTTTATTTTAAGTAGTCGAAGTTTATCTTGATGCTTTTCGCGTTCTCGATATCTTTGCACTCTTTGATGCAACACTTGATTTTTACTTTCAAGATCTTTTAAATGTTCTTCCCTTTTGTTAATTTCTTTCTAATTTTAAATAGTGCAAGAAGCCAGAAAGAATTATCCGCAACACGCAATTACCTTAAGAAGAAAATGAACGGAGGAAATAGATTTTTAATCACGCCAAGGCTAAATTTTACCATTTGATTGTCTTCTCCAGATCGAAAATTTAATAATTTTTGATGTTTTTGATATAACTCTGGATTGATCTGTGTTTAAATAAATTGCAACTAGTTCATAAAAGGGCTTCTGTAAAAGTAGAATGCGGCAAGTCATAACCGTTTTTTCCGTTTCCTTCAATAAATCTTCGTTTGACAACCTAGCAAATTCTACTACTTTGTCCTTTAGGTAAATTACGGAAGCATGTAAACACGTATTAGTACAGTCTTTACCAATTTTGATAGAAGATAAAGTTTAGATGCCCAAATAAATCTACTTGTAATTTTATTACTACTTTCCACTGAGTAGAGCAGTAGAATTATTGTACAGCATAGACTCACTTGAGGTAGAAATTGGCAAAGATTATCCACTTGAATGTTGAAAGATTTAACTAATTCTGCAACCTACAATAGGGTAATAAATGCATTATGACGATCTTTCGTCTATTTGAGCCATGAGCAAAAATCAAATCACCGAATGCAAAACAGTATCTGCCGTACCTTTTTTTTAGAACTTTGTGTTCCATTTATGAACCAGTTACTAGTACTGCCTTGCATATCGCTATTTTGCTTAAAAACTGATTTAATAACGGTACTTTGTGGTAGATCGAATCTACGATGGAAAATTGATAGTTATATCAGGGCAACAATTTGTGATGAGACCGCATTGACAATCACACACAGTGTAAGGGCCTTTGCGAATATTTATCAGCCTAACACTGTCTATGGTCCCCTATGGTAAACTGATTTTATTTGATACACCATGCAATAATCCTGTGAACGATTTTCAGTACAAAGAATCTATACCTTCATTAAAATGGAAATAGCGGCCTAGCGTCAGCTCTACTACTACTACTAGTGCTTAACAAGAACCCTCGAACGGAATAATGATGAATACGTATATTAAAGGAATCATCCATTCAAATCCTTAAAGTAGGTATTTCTCTCCTTGTAAAGTAGGAATAAGTCGGCTGAATCGGCCCATTCACTCACTATTTGTAAAGGATAGGCTATTTGTGCGTTATTGCTGCGATTGAGGTCGAAAATTGTGGCAGTAAGCACTAATGCGGTTCCAGCTGCAAGTCTCATTTAATTCACGTTACGATAGAACATGGTACTTACAGGGTAATTTCTACAATAGCTTCCATTTGGCCATGCTTGATAAAATCTTTGATCTAAATAAAGTAAAAAAATATTAATTTAATATATGATGACCGAACTCTGTTTAGCGCCATTCCATCAATATTTTCGGGAATGTGTTAGAGTCGTGGGCACTGTCAACAAGTATTTGAGCAGCTCGAGTCGTTTGTTATCAAGATATGGCGACGAGTTTGCAAATCTTCTAACTGATAAAAACATTCGATTTAGGCATTGTTGTGTCAGTCAAGCCTGTCCTTTAATTAATTATCATTTCAATTTCATATTTTGAGGGCAGTTTAGGTACACAGAATTCCATTTGTAATCCGTACCGCTGCAATGCACTGGAGATACTAGCACTTATGACAACGATAACAATTTCTGCCTCTTGTGGTATTTTTAATGTCTACTGTTCATTTTATTGGACCGCATAGCTTCATGGATGCTTCATTTCGGATTCGCTTTCATATAACGAGCTATGCAAGCGTTTTCTTGTCGTTGTTTGCAGCCGTAATGCCGCGCCATCAATTGATTACTGTATATCGAATAGCTGTACAGTATATCATGGCAATGACGACAGCAATTCTAGATATCATCATTAGATTGATTGCCCACTTTGCACACTCTGAGTTTGATTATTGAAATTCGTTTGGATTGCATGGTATCATATAGCATTGATTGATTTCAATCCAGATTACGCTAGCATTATTTCATTAGATTGTACTGGAGATCAGAGGCCAAGTGGATAATCAAATAATAACCATGCATACAATTATGACTGGCATGGACATGGAAAATCAACACGAAATACGCTTACTTACTTGCTTAGCTCTACCCAAAACACTCGGAGAACCTGCTAATCCTAGACATACTGCACACACAATGGAAGATTTACCAGATCCTAACATGCATAGAACCATAATATCGTTTGTCAACTTCGAACTTTTTTAGCCCCAAGAACTGTATTTAAGCGTAAGTTAATTCGATCATCCTTAACTTCCATAACGACCACCAGCATCAAACTAGCTATTTTCTACCTACCGTTAGGTCCTGCGACTAAGTTCATTTTTGGACCAAAACGAAATTTACAATCCGAATAAGTCCTATATCCAACAAAATAGAAACAGCATTCTGTTAAGGAAGATCATCAATCTGAATAGAAGATGGCTATTTCAATCCATAGACATAAGTCTTTCATTGGAATGCAAATGCCATTACAAGAAATTTTTGAGGCGGATTTCCAACAGAGAGCCTCGGGAGTATTGCTGTTCATCTTCAACGCTGCTATCCAATGCCATTAGCAAAATGAACACATATAATCAAGACACCAATAATCAACAAGTCGTAATGAACAATTGCAGACTAATTAAGCGGTCGATTCTAGAGGATAAGCCAATCCTATAGGCATTTCTAGTGGTAACGATCGGAAAAATGGCGGAAGCGCCGCCAGTCGTCGAGCTTGATCTCGAGTTGCTGCAAGATTATTAAGAACTGGGCGGGTAATAAGAATGGGACGAGCTACGGACTGCGGAAATCCAGACACGATCCAAGCCGATCTGGCCAGTACTAGGGTAGGCTGTTTCAAACAGTCTGAAAATTCCATACTACACTATCATCCATCGCTACCAGCAGCATGACGAGGCTGGAGTTCAATCACACTGTATCAGCATGACATCTCAAACATGGCTGCGCATTCCATACAATCTCTACAGTCTGCGACTTGTTCTTCAAGTGATGAAATACGTGTAGGCGCGTCCCTTCCTTGACGACTATAGTCGCTACTCAGACCATTTTACGAGGTGAAATAGCTCCTATACTCTCTACTAATCGTATCTAAATTAGCTGCAAACTGCTGCTAAGTTGGTTTTGTGCAGTATGTTCTAGTTATACCCTTTCATTGATACGATATAGTAGAATGACGGGAACAGCCTCCACTTTATTTTGTACCGAAAGTAGCGCCCTGTCCCCTCCTTCCTCGTTTGCTGCCCTTTGTAGAAACAGACTCCAGGACTCCTGGACATGGAGTGTGTCAATATGACTGGATACAAGCAGTCGAGCTACTTCATCAATAGCCAGCAAGTCTATCCAAGTACGTGAACAGTCATCCACTCAATACGAGCTAGATAGAAAGACCCTTATTTCAGTTTTCAAGCCTACCAAAGATGACTGTATAGTCAACGATCGCTTTTACGTCCCCTCTTTCCTTTCTTTCTCATTTGAGCAGTACTGTACTGTACAGTACAGTGTACTGTACTGTACACTCACTGTACTGTACTGTACACTGAGTGTACAGTACAGTACACCAGTTCAATCATTCAGACAGACGGACTATTCTTAGCAAATGAAATGAGGCGGACAGTATCGAAAAATGACAACTTACAGGACGTTGTATGGATCTTCCTTGCCTCTTTTCGACATCACTAGTACTAATTTCAATACCATCGACGATCTTATATAACTGTTTCCTAGCCAAACTTAGTAATAGATTATAAGACTCAACGTAATATTACTTAATTTACAAAAAATTAGTCAATTCAAAATCGACCGTCTGCATACTAAAACACTGTCATCACCAAGAATTGGGCACAATATTTTGAAAATGTCTGTCCGTCCAAGGGTGATCTTTCCAGGTCTTATTCGAGTAGTCCATGCCTCCAGGTATCCGATGCAAACATCATCCACCTCTACCTGAACAGAGTGCGTCGGAAACAGGATATCGATCATACGATATCCATATGGAAATAGGCAGTGAAATCGAGTTGGCACCCACTGATAATTTCAACAACAATCGTACTGTACTGCAGGTCCAGCTATAGGTCAAGCTCTGCTTGCTTGCACCTCCTGAGCTGGAGCTGCTTCTAGGTATCTCAGCTTCTCCAACTCGATCGAGCAATATTGGACTACCTTGAAGCTACGCTACATCATTATCAACTTGGACTACTGGATACAAGTCGAACTCAATTGCCTAAGATTATATTGATGAATGCTAGACAGTGTCAGTTAGAGCGGACATACCTTTAATCTTCATCGGTAGCAAATGAATTACGATCGACATCAATCACCACGAATTGCAGAAAGACAATTTGGCTATTTTGACTTGCACATGACGTAGGATATCATTGCACAGTGAATTAGATACTTTATTCAATCCAATTAAAATAGTGTCGAGATCAATTGGCGTATTAAAGACGAGTTTTCTATTCCACTATCAGCATTAATCAACGTCATAAGTGGATCATTGAGCTGAAGGACACGGAAATTAATCGAGTAGACTCGTTTGCTCCTTTTCATTTATACCATTGTCATTGCTATGCGATTCTCGATCAAAGGTGTTGCTATTTATTACAACATTGATTGTAAGAGAATCATGTCTTCCATGCCTCCAATAACATTTAATGCGATTGGCTATTTAAAGTCTTGTTTTGTCGAGAAAAATGGCTCACCGCGCCAACCATCAGTCTGTCGCCAATCCCGAGCTCAACTTGCCATTGAATCCAATTTTACCAACCCTCATCATTCACTGATGAGTTTACAACAATTCTCTCATGTCTGGTAAGTTATTCTATATTTTGTCATATTGTAATAGATTAAAATAGATATAGAGCTATTACAAATCAACGTTTGATCAGCAACAATAGTATTGATCGACCGTTCTGTAAATAGGAATAGGATTAAGTAGGCATGTCATACGCGTATTTAAACACCGTTGCATGTCTTTTACACATAGCAATTTTAGCATACAAATTGATTATCTCCCTTTTTCAGGTTAATTTTCCTATTCCATATGAATGAAAATACCCATGTACGAGCTAAAATTAAGCCTCCCCGGTTAGACGGGGAAAAAATTGGTGTTTTTGCATCGCGCAGTCCTCATCGTCCTAATCCTATTGGCTTAACTCTAGCCAAACTAGATAAAGTCGACGGTAACATCATCCATCTATCGGGCATTGATATTGTTGACGGCACACCAATCCTTGATATTAAACCATACATACCAGATTATGATAATCCACCAGCCGATCAAGGTATATTGATGTCTAATCTTAACAGATAGGTTACATTAGATAGACCATGAAATATAACCATGTATTAAAATTCTTTGTTAATCGAACTTCACTAAAATCAACCTCGTACAGAATGAAGGAAGGAAGCCAGATAAAATTGACTTGGAATAATCTGTCTTGCTTTGTAGATATTCAATTAGCATCTTGGCTTACTTTACCTCCAGTAAAACCGCTCACTGTACAATTTACTTCACAAGCGGAGGATGATTTACAACAATTCTTCCCAAGCGAGAATAACACTAGCCATTCCAAATATCAGCTGCAATTATTAAAAGATAGCGATGAAGCACGATCGGTTATTCATGATGTTGTGGCATCTGATCCGAGATCGACGTATCGAAGAAATAAATGCACGGATGAAGTTTATCATTTTACTGTTGATAAGTTGAATATTAGTTGTAAATTTGAAAATGAAGTTGCTATTATCACACAGATTGTTCCAGTAGATGATATCCAACATTTACGAGATAAGTTTATGAAGAATGCCGGTAGTCATCAATAATCTCTATCTTGCTCCATTTTTAAAGATTCTTGGAATAGGTTCGATAACTACTTTGTTACATTAAATGTATTTTATGGGAGATTTTTAAAAATGAAATAATTTGTCATAGGATTGCAATTTAGCTTGAACTAGACTCATGAAGTAACCATAGTACTGTTGTTCCATGATAGATTGCTCCGATAATTACTTAGTTGCGCTAAATATATTTTTAGCAGTAATTATCAACATAGAATAATTTGCTATAGGATGGTAATTTTGCTTAAATTCGACTACATGAAGTAGCCATGGTACAGCTGTACCATGTTGGATTGCTACCTATAGTACCAACGATTATTTTACCCGCGTTGTAAATCGTATAGCATTTTCTCCATTAAGAAATATCCATCATAAACTAAAGCGATAAGACTATTACTGTTTTATAAATCCGATTATTATGTACTGTATATTGCTACAGTTGCATGTTATTTCGCCAATAATAACATTCTCCCATGGAGAATCATCTCCTCCTATATCAAGGCAATATTAAAGACTAAAGTGATTACTTGCAATGAAAATATTTTATTTATACAATTAACTGCAAGTTAAGCTATTATATTATAATAAATTACAATGTAAAATGATATCCTTCCAAAACCTGGTTTTTCTTTGATATAAAAATACATTTTGGTATATACTATAAAAGGTAATGAATATAAATTGCTATGATCATTAAATATCCATGCATAAGAATTATTATATCATAGAAATAATCCATTTACATCATAAACTCTATCTGGCCTCATTTTAACTTGCTGTACACGAATCTCCAAGGTATTTACAAACATGTTTAACAAAATTGTTATAATCTTTGCCATTAATATTTTCCTACGCTCTATAATAGAGCATTAGCATCGATGGCCATTAATTCAGGTAGACGATTAGGTGATCCCCTATGGAATTGATTACTAATATCATTTTCAATGGCAGCCTGCCTTCGTTCTTGATGTAACCAGTAGAGCATTTCTACTTTATCCCGCTTAATTTTATCCAAGTATGGTCGTCCCTATTGATTATAAATGAAAAATTGCTTGAATACGCTCTATAAATTGATCTTGAAACTAGGATAGGAATCAGTCGATGGAAATTGAAATTGATTCCATCGTATCTATTTCACCATCAATTACGTCAAAAATACCTGATAAGCAACAACATCTCCATATTTCGTTTCAATTTTTTGTACTGTGTCAGTGATTTGCGGCTCAATTTCTTGTAATGTCTAGATAAAATCAGGTATTAAAGTCTATCATTAGCTTAATTTGCCAAGATAGACCGATAAATAAATTCGCATATCCGGCGATCTATGGCTATATCGTTAATAATCGTGACTGATCAGTGCCAGACTTACATTATACAACTGGCTTCTTTCCTTTGCTTCAGTCAATCGATGTACTGAGGATCCTTTAGAACCTATACAAGATACGGTAGTGTTAATTCATTGTAAGGAAACTAAAACGATATACTGACTCATGTCAAGGATACAAACCAAAAGCCTTAGCTAATTGAAACTACCTTTTAGGAAGAAACGTTTTGGATCGGATGCTGTCCTTTCAAAAGCTTCCAATCGAGCAATAATACTTTCACGACGCAATATGATATCGGTAACTTCTTCCCAATCAATGACAACCTATTAAAGACAGTCATCCATATGATAAGCAATCATGCATCCTAAGGTATTTAAACTACATGGATTGGAAATGGGAAGCAATTAGCATCCTTTCCTTACTTTGCAACGATTAATACTGATCTAGTGTAATAGAAAATCAAAGTAACCTTTTCAAGATCTTTTCTAAATTTATCTGAGCTATATTTAAGTGCCATATCAATTCTATGTGCTTCCGGTAACCACAGCGATGTCCAAACATTGGATAGTCGGTCTTGTAGGCTTAAAGTTTTAGACGATTTGCTTAATCTCGTCTATTCCGTAAAAGTTGCAAATTTTCAAAAATTCCTTATAAGTTCACAGTATGGCATTACTTAAACCTCAATATGAAACTTACTGGATCTCTTCTCGCCCTATAAGCGGAAAGTTTACCGTCTTTATCAGATTGAGGAACTGGCTCAACTAGAATAATTCAAAAAATATCATAGTATTAAATTTCAGACTTTGTGAATCAAGAACAGCATTCCTTTCTTTCCACATTGTGCATAGCGAAAGCAAAGCTTGAAATTAACATTAACCTTGATTATATAACCCTCTATCTATAATCGGCATGTTTTATCCTTCTATGTAGAATATTTTTACAAACGTAACAAACGAAGCTAAATAAAACTCACGTTTCTTTAAAGTATTGTAATCCTGGCTCTCCATTGCTATATTATCATATGGTAATCGATGGAAGGTTTAATAATGATACAAATGCATTATAAAATATTCAGACTTAGATTCTTACCATCAACGTCAGGATCCTGTCCTAAACCGCCTAAAGCAACTGTGTTAACATTCCAGTATCCAGATTCGTATACTGATTTCAGATTGAGTGCATTCTGTAATTTCTCTTGATGAATTCTAATAAAATATTTAGTAATAAAAAGAGATTCCTTAAAGTATCTGCAAGTATTACTCGTTCTAGTAAATAGACTTTAAGGTGTAAATATAAGCTAGCAATTTTATAAACTCTATGGTTGCCAAAGTATTAATATTAAAATTGATGCAGGATTTTCATACAGTAACTCAATAGTGACATTGATAATTTTATTCGCAGTAAGATTGACTACTCGGTGGAAACAATCTAGTTACTGTCATGTTCGAAATTTTGGTCAAATATATCTACATAGTCATTAAACGAATTTTAAATATGTACGTTAGGATATCGAACACTATTAGAAACTAAATACTCAAAAACGCACCTTTGCTAACTCAAACTGAAAGTAAGTATACGAATATGAATGCTACTTGTGCTAATGGCACATCCTAAACTCTTGCTACTAATCTATTCTTAAACCTGTCATTAATAAATCACAGAATTTGATTACTAATTATGCTGTCGCCTTTGTCAAGCTTATAACAATGATAATGTAGCCTTAGCTACTGTTAATTATAATTAAATAATCTATTCCTTAATAAAATGATTAGGCCTACCTCTGTCTTTCGAGTTCTTCTGGATCGGGTTGACATCTTTTATCCTCTTCATCGCTATCTTCATCATCCGAATTATAAAAATGAAATAAAACTGATAGAAAATCCGATTCCTATATCATCAAAAATAGAAACCAATGGATTTATTCTCGTGCTATAAGTTAATAAACAAATTTATTAAGATTAGGTTATTTCAAGTACCTGTTGAGATAAATATTTAACGTAATCACCAGAGCTGATGTGAGATTTCCATGCTGCAAGCCATGAGGCATAAGCTCGTAATTCCTTGTTCTGATTCGATCTCTAAAAGTAGGCGGAAATCAATAATAATAAAGTAATCCACTATTGACCAAGGGGTAAAAATTTCACAAATATCTATCGATAGACATCGTTATCATTACAGTTGGATCGGCTTTAAGAATATCTTTCATGTTCATTCGTTGTTCCAGCAAGCGATCCCTAGTGCAAATATATTCAGAGCATTTTATTATGATAGAAAACAGAGTAGAAAAAACTAATATAATATTATTATAGGTTAATTTTTGTAAGTCTCAAAGCTTGATCGTTGTTGGTAGTACTTTAAACCAACCGTTTTGCCCACATTTCTGCCGTATGCCTCCCAAAATGTTTCTTATTCGACTGTAAACCTCTGTTAATGATTCTATGCCTAGGTTTTTGCTTTAATGTTGCTGATATCATGAAATCAGATAAATTGATACTTTCCGGGCATGGTTCAAGATTATCGCCCTGAAGTAATGATAATGATAAATGTAATCGAACCCTTAGTAAAACCTTTCACAGACGCTAATATGTAAATAGGATACGATTAAGTACATAAATTTATCTTCCAGTAGCTGTTCGAATAGCCATCTCATTCATGAAAACTTATTACCTGATCAAAAATTAAATGATCTCTATCAATAGATTTCATGACTTCTTCATAAACACTCTTCACTTCTTCTCCAACAAAAAGATTACGATCCAGCCATGTGACAGTTTTATTATCGATCTACACCGTGCAATTAATTGATGTTCATTTTTAGATCTTATTAACCCTTATTTTATCTTCAATCTATCTCATCTACCTCGCTTGTCATATCGTTATAAATCGTTGGTACACATTCCAGAGTTAAAGACGTATTTGAAACTCGATTTGAAACTCGTACGTCAGCTAATCGAACTGTAGACTAAATTACAAAGAAATTAAAAGTATGTATAAGTTAGTAGACTAGAATGGCGAATATTCCAACGAACAGTGTTCTATTCTAATGGGCAGTTTCTTAGATACGGCTCTCACTTTATCGAATAATTTCATTTGGAATACTGCAGGTTGAGGAACTTCCTAAGCATTACACGGAATGAAAGATTGTATTTAAGGAATCGGGCTTTCAATCAATGATCAAATGCAAATTTAGCGATATTAACCTGGAAATTATCGACAGCGGTCTCAGTTTGAGTTTCACTATCATCAGCTTCATCTTCTTCAATAACTTCTTGAAGTCTTAAATAGAAGGATAAAAGGAGTTTAATTTTGCATCTCTTAATGCTAGCCAGCACGAAATCAATCCATTAAGATAAGCCAGAAACGAAATTTATCAAATTAAGTTTATCGATCCATTTCGATAAATTAAAACGAAAACCAAACAACTCCTCTTACTTAAATGCATAAGTTGCGTCTATAAGACCTTCTTGTAAATTTTCATCGACATCAGCTAATGAATGACGTTTTGGAGACGGCAATAAACTCTCCAAAACTGGACTTTGAATACTGCTCGAACGCCGACTTGATGATGATTTCAGTCTTGAATCCAGAGATTTTAAATTAAGATCAAGCAAAGCAGCAGCAACACTACTTCGGCGAGCTCCCATCGGTGTTTTGGATTTAATTTCTCTTGTATCTAAAACTGAACTGACTTTCTTAACCGGAATTTCAACTTTAACCTTCTCAGTTTTAGTTCTTTTCGTAGTTTGGACATAAGTTTTTACTAAAGCCTTCGGTATTTTAATTAGAAGAAAGTATTAGTGTAGGGTTAATAGATGTCGCTACAATCGAGAAACGAATGAATTCTTTCGTGAATTCCAATTTATTTTCATCACGTCTATTTATTTAACGGTACCTACCTGAAGAAGCGGAGGTAGTTCTGCATCTTCATCTTTAATATCAACTAAAGCTGACTAAAAATTATCAACATGACCAAATCATAGCGTAAATGAGACGATATAGGTCTAAATACTCTCTGATCTATAAGCCTTAAGGACGCATTCCTGACAAGAGTAGAGTTATATAAAATGATATACATACCTCAACGTTATGCGTCGCAGTTAATCTCCTCAGATCTTCTGCAATATATTCGCGAGTTCCAAATCTGTAAAGGTAAGATGACAATTGAATCATTCTAGAATGATCTAGCAATAAATGGCAGGCTATGTATAGATTAACCTGGACTGATAATCCTCTTCAGATGAAGTTGCATTTTTATTTTCACTGTCATAAATGCCGATCAGCTGTTGAAATAGAAGAATATTAAAATCCTGTTAGGCTACTGATTAAAACTATCCTAGTATGGTAGCTATCCGCATCGATCCCAATTCTTATCTTACATCAAGTTGATCAACACTAGTAGTTTTAGTAATTGTACCGCCTGGATATATTTCTGGACCTAGATTAAAATTTATTGGGATATCCAATAAGCAAAATTGATTTATTCTTGATTATTGTAATAATGCAATCCAGTATAGTTACTATACTTTACCAAGACGCCGAACTTCATCCCCATCTAAGCCACATTCAGTAGCAAAATCTTCAGTATTCCCTCGATTTAGCTTTGGCATAGATTCGCAACGCTATTAAAAGTAAAGTAACATTTCCCACAGAATAATATTATGATACAACAAAAATATATATTGCATATCATTTTACTCTAGATGTTAAATATAAACAGCAAGATAATCATTATCTCAACAATATATTCAACAAATATTAGCAAGAAAGTTCTATTTACCCGAAGACCGAAATTGGTGAATGGCTCGATTTCCTCACTGAAGGTACTATAAATCAACATCGTAAAAATTGAATGGACCATCAGCAGGTGCATTGATCTTATTTCAGAATTCTTACATAAAGACTTTTCGTGCATATCGTAGTTAGTACTACTACTTTATAAGAAGGATAATCAGCGAAGACTACATCTTTTAGTTTATATTGATTGGTATCATGGAAAAATCAAATCGCTCTGAAGATATTCTAATCTTTGATACCTGACAATAAAAGAGAATATTATTGCCTCTAAATATCTTAAGTATCACAGTTATTGGATGCAAATCTTAAACTGAAATGGATTGATTTATGTATAGTCTAGTTAATAATTCTAGATGTTATCAAATCTACCAGTACTATATGTATCTTTGTTATATAATCCTGGATATTAAAGGATTAAATAGATTCGTCTTTATGAGATACTCTAGAATTACTCAGGTAACAAAGTTATTGATAACATTTAGGCAAGGCCTTCCAGTACAATCGATTACTACATGAATTAAATTTAGAGCATCAAGTAAAGTTACCTCTCTTGCCCCGCCTCATTCATTTCACTTTCATTGTAAACATCTATTCCTGTATTGCTTTGCTCGGCTGTGATTGAAAATACTTTTAGAATGGTGATGGTAGAATTGCGCCTAGAAACTATAACTTACACTCAACAATTCCATAGAGTGCCGATAATTCATCATAATGTTGATAATGCTTGGGAATTGAAGGCATCTTTGATTTAAGCTACAATAAATCATGCGGTTTGTGTTAATATTATATTTTTAATCCTGGTGCACATTCATATAAACTGTATAGGCTAATACAGTAAAATTAGAAGTAATTTCATTTTACAGCTTCCGTACCTCATTTACTTCTGCTTCTATCGACTTTTCCAAGTGAAAATCTCTTCGTTCTAGCTATAGTTTATATGGAAAGTATTAGATGGACATTGTAAGCTAAGAGCTAATAGTAATATCTCACGAACAGCATGTTATCTCCGGCAATCAAAATTCTACGGAATAAATTATGCAATACTTTAGTAAATCCTCGCTCTCTCTTCACTTTCTCATTGTTGATGTTGGCGCTAAACAGACTTTGCTCTGCTTTCATTTCAGCCAGAATAACACGACGAAGAGCTAAGACGTTAAATCTGAGAATAAATTGCAAGAAATTTAATTTTTTCTTCACAGACATTATGAGGATTTAATAAACTTCAAATCTGCTTTAGCGACTGCTATAGTGTAGTTTGCATATATCATTAAATTTAGATCAACCTCTTATGTGCCTCAATTGCTAATTGGGCCTGTAAACGGCTTGAATTAGCAGCTGCACTGAAAACGCCACGTTTGTTTAAAGTCTCTGCGCTGTCCAAGTACTTATGGAATAATTCCTCTGCTGTAATAATAATATTCATCATAATTCGCCTATTTATTAAAATATAAAATCATTAAGGTAGGAGCCAACGGAATGAGTTTTAAATTTATCCAGAGTTCACCTTTTTAACTGGAAATTGCTTTCTTCATCCTAACATTAAGTAGAGATAAATTAGCTATTAATTATATTTTGTACTACTTAAAACTCTCTAACATAATTCGCTTTTGATGAATTTATGGAGAAATTTATAAAGAAGCTACATACTAAATAAGGGTCATGTGCGACATCTTGTAAATCCGGCCATATATTACTAATTTCTCCAGTAATAACGGTAACCTGCAATTGTCAAATAAGCAAAATTCTTTAAAATAATGCTGATTCGTGATCAAAAATATAAAATAATCACAAGAGTACAATTTTCATAAAATCACTTTAGTTTATGTAATCAATTGTATCTTACGAATTCTTGCTGGTTATTGACAGTTAAATATTCAAGAACTCCTTTCGGTCGAATTCGAGGGCGAAGAATTTGAAGAAAATTATTCAAACTTGCCGGCAGGGATACCAAGGCATCCTGGATATGAAGTGAAATGAAGTTAAAAGTTTTATCCATATTATTGTCTTTATGCAATAAACATTTCACTGGAATTCTAACCTGGATTGGGGTCAGCGTTCTTTCATGTTGTAATTCGGCTGCAATATCATCTAGTTATGATACGATAATTGCAAAATATTGCTCATTCCACATGATATCACTTAAAAATTATCTCATGACTAAGTGATGACTACAGAATTAGTTTTATCGTAAACAATCAGCATAGTCTAAGAAATTAGTAATTGGTAATTGCTTCAACTGATTATAAGAATTGGTATTCTACCACGAACCTGAGTCGTTCCCAGTTGCAAATAAACTAATCGGTCCAGCAGCGGTAATAAATTTGTCCTGAAAATCTTTCTAAATTGATCAATAACACGGTGGAAATTAAAAATGCGCGTCAAGTAATAATGTAGCCGTGATATCTAACCCAATCTGTCATTAATTTACAAGTTAAGCAAGTTGAAATTTTGCTATTATTAAAGTAAGAAATTTAAGAGAAGCGTTGAAAGCAGGCGACTAAAAAAGAATTATCTTGTTTGCATTATCTATCTTGTGATTGAATTAGAAAGTGCCAGGTTGAGAATGTACTTACTTCGGAAATATCGAAATTTTCAAGGGGATATAGCTTGTCTAGACCCTCCATTGGTGATAAATACGTAATACAATAAATTTCTACAAACTATTAAAGCTTGATTTGGACTAGCCACCCAATGTTAATTGCCAAACTGATTGTAGTAGATGAATCAGCCCTGTCTAAGGTGAAATTAGCTAGAGTAATGTTGTCTTATGGATCATTTCCAGCTTGAATATACAAACCCATGAAATTTTCAGTGATCCCTTGTAACAGAAATTCGATCTAACCCAAAATGTTACTTGTAGGATACTATCGTGAAATGAAATACAATTCGATCCCACTTAACGCTTTTAATCTTGGCATAGTATGTGCCAGTATGAAATTCTATCTCTAAGGTGTAATCAATTCCTTCTAACAGCTGATTTGGCTTCTAGAATTGGGTAATATAGTTGGACTTTGTTTAAATTACAGCCTAAAAAATGCCTGGATTGATGGTATCATAGCAACAATGGACATTGAATATGGGCATGCGCGTATCCAACACCACGTCAATCTTCATATTATATCTAGTACACTGTCGCTTCCATAGTATACGGTATAGGAAATATTATAATAATGGATATATATAAGTTACACTACTTTTGTGCACAATTGCAATGTAGCACCCTAGTGGTATATCTCAGAAAGGTGATATGATGTTCGATTATGTTTCCTGATCGATGCAGCATATAGGCTGGACCATTTAGCAATAATTTAATTTAGGTTCTCCATTATGCAATGACCATCGATAATACTATATAGTAGAACTTTACTTTAATTTTAATGTAGCATCTTCTAGCGAAGATATAAAAGAATTTAATCTATCTTAGGAATACGGATTATTGGTGAAATGTTTATTTACATTATGATTATAATTTATAATATTATCTATAATAAAGATTATAATTATTTTTTTCTTACTGCATTCGACGCAGACTAGCAATAGCAGTGGGAGACAATTTGCAGCTATTTACGCTTGCCATCCACTCTTTTACTCACACTCTTCGGCCACTTGCGACATGGACTACTACAGTATCTTGATCATTGTGTTGGGGATAATCCAACTTGTTGTCATCATCGTCTTGCTTACCGCGGAATCCAATGGCTTCTTTTCTTCTACATGATCGTCGTACTTGGGATAGGATCCGATGCCTTCTCCATTTCAACAGGTCGTTGTCGAACTACCATGCAATCCGATGGCTTCTCCGATCCAACATGTCATGGTCGTACTTAGGATAGAATCCGATGGTTTGCTTCTTTCTTCTTCTTTCCTATAAGTCATCATCGAATTGCGTTTCTACGGTATAATCCTTAATCCTTATCCTATTGATAAATTGAAATGGATATAAGTATGTACACCAGATCGTTTCCTCTATTTTTCAATTCATTAATAAGGATTCATTAAATTTATTAATCACTATCCGTGAACGTAAATTGTCTTCATGTATAGAACAGTACTGCAATTTAGAAGTCGTCATCGAATTGCGTTTCTACAGTATAATCCTTAATCCTTATCCTATTGATAAATTGAAATGGATACAAGAATATACGCCAGATCATTTCTTCTATTTTTGATTCCTTAATAATAATTAATTATAATTACTAATCACTATCCGTGAACGCAAATTATCTTCATGTATGGAACAGTACCGCACTTCCATAAAGACAAATATTAATAATTTAATAATTATAATTTTTATTATAGATCTTAATGTAAAGCATAGAACCGATTGATTCGGACTAATGCCCTAACTATAGAAGGCAAGTAATATACAAATTGGACTATATCAATTTTAGAGCAGCAATTTTACAGATTACATTGCAAGTTATGCTACTGTTGCACACAATTGCAATGTAATACCCTAGTGGTATATCCGAGAAAGCTGCTATGAGATTCGATAAGTTTCCTGATCGTTACAGCATATAGTAGAATCTAATCTTTCTTAGGAAATATACAATATTAGATCTTAAAGTAGACTATAGAACCACCTGATCTAAACTATTGCCCTAGCCATGCTAGGCAAATAATATAAAAATTGAATTGCATCAATTATAGAGCAGCAATTTTGCAGACTATGTTGCCAGTTACGCTGTTCTCGTATGCAATTGTAATACAGTACTCTAGTGTTATGTCCAAGAAAGCTGAAACGATATTCGATATGTTTCTTGATCGATGTCGAGTATAGACCAGACCAATTAGCCTTAATTCAATTAAATTTCTCAATTACGCAATACCTATCGATGATGCAACCCTACTTTAATTTTAATTTAGTATTTTCTAGCAGCAGAAACTAACCTTTCTAAGGCATATACCAGTCACGGTACGAACTACCGTGAAGAAATAGATATCTAAATTTGGTTAATATAATATAGTGATATTATATTACAACTAGTCACTTACAATAGGAATTACTCTAATTATAAATGTGTTACAGTAAATTTATTGCTGTGCTGTAATGTGTACTGAAATGATTCTGTGAATGGACATATTGTAGTCCGACTGTGAAAAACTAGTTGTAGATGTTCTCACCCAAGTATTTTTATTAGATGACTTGTGAATGTTAGCTGCTGTAGAAGGGTATATAAACCCGTCAGATAGTTGAATAAAGCAGTTCTCAATTGTCTAGTTGAGTTGAACGTAGAATCAAAGGCGTCTAAATTCTTGTGAGTAGGAATACTGAATCCCGGAGACTATAGTAATTTAGAGATTTGTTTCACGTTATCCTTGTCACGAAGCTGGTTTATGACAATACCGTAATATATTAGAACCTACATATGATGAATTAGTTGTTACTATTCTATTTTAACTAAAGTTAAAATGACAATAGTTTCTAATTTGATTTATATTTCAAATTATCTATATAAGCTCTTATTGGCTAATGTTCAATATTGTAATAATCAAAGCTAATAAACTTTCACAGGTAAATTGTTACAGACTGACTACACGGCTAACCAAGTAGGATCTCTCAAATACAAAGTCAGTAAAATACTCTAAGCACGTACTTACCGAATATTTTATCAGTAGATATTATATTACCTATAATATTTTGAAATCTTGCAAAAGTGATTTGGCTTTATTGCATGCAATATTAAGTCAATTACATGCCCATTCAGAATACTTGATTACTCTATTAATTCTATAACAGGTGGACAATTTATTAGTTTTATGGTCTTAAATACTTTATAGCTGTTCTCAGCTATCATCAACATCAAATCTGAAGCCTTTCCTTCCTTTGGTACTCAAGAATAATTAGAAACTCAATATTTGAGGCCCTTTGACGTTGACGGTTTGAAATACCAATAGCTATTAAAAAGTATCGCAGTACTACAGTATGAAATGAACTGCAAAGCAGCCTGAAATAATCTAAAGCGAATGCAAAAGCTATCAATTTTCTCAAACTAAAGTCAACTGACTTTGGTATCTTTTCAACTAATACAATATCGTCCAGAATTGTCCATAGTTGCGTACTTTTTTCGCAAATTTAGTCTCATTGTAACAACTAAGCTATTTCATGATAGAATACCGTATATTTTCGTACATTTATCATAGTATAAAGAAAACGCTATAATTACAACTAAATAAATTTAATCATCTAAACACTTAAGGGCTGTAAAACAATTGAATATAGTAGCTAATCCTATTAAAATAGTCTTTAGACTGTAATACGAATTGGAATGTATCAGTAACTAATAAATAGAGTATGTTACGATTCGGTTACTTATAGTTCCTATCAAGGAGCTATGATATTGCTACAACTTACTCTTATTAAAATGTGGTTGCATTAAATACAATATAGGTAGAAAGAAATGCAACATCTGCAAATTATAGGCTGTCAGTATTGCTAATATAAGCGAACTGGAGAATTATTCTTGCTAAGAAATAAATTTTATCAATCGAAGTAATATTGCATATAACATAGCATAACCTATCATTATAGGTCTATTTACTAATTCTTAATTATTCATGATTTTCAACTTTTTTATGACTATCATTATAACGGATGTTGAAAATTAAATACTTTGTTGAAAATTAAATACTTAGAAATATTACATGAAAAAATGAACATTACATGATGCAATTTGCCGTTGAATGATCTATAATCACTGTTCTTCCATTGCAGCCGATTTCCAGATTCTTAATGATCCCTGTTGGCGTAGTAGTACATGGTCTAGACAAAACAACGGATCAAAATTTAAATAACCAAAATTCAGAATATGTTTGTTGGTGATTGAAAGTATTGCTATTCATCTTTAAAATATACAATAACTTCTGTTTGTTAGCCTAGATTAACGCAGCCATTTTGCTATCTGCTGACCTTGTATATATAAAGGTATTGATCAAAGGTCTGCACGCATCCACCACGATCTTCACGCACTCTTTCAACACATTTCTTGATATCTACCTTGCGGCAATCATCATAACTTCTCATGCAAGTATCGACAGCTAATAATACTCCAGTTCTTCCTATACCATTGCTGTAATAGAATAGATATTGTTCTTCAGCGTCGGATGAATTATTACTCTACCATAAAAGTGCAAAAGTTGGGAAAAATAAACTTACTTGCAATGTACAACTAAAGGACTGTCAAGTTCTTTCAATTCCTCTCTAATATTTAATAGTAAGTTAACAGTTGATTCTTCATCGGAAGGGAAATTATCTGCTGGCCACTTTGTGTACCAGTAATGCTTAATATAGATTGATTCTCTCTAATGAATGAGTAAAAGATTAGCGATTATTCACAACTTTTAAGCCTAATCATCACTTCCAAATCGGCTGGAGATTTTAGTTTTCTTTAAACTCTATACTACCTTATTGTTTTGTAGATTAAGTGTAGAAATGATATAGGTATCGTAGATTACTCTATCGTGCAAGGTAATCAAGAATGAATCCGCCTTGATACTGGCACCAACTTCATCATCCAGTGGCCAATATTGACTACATTGGGACTACATTAAACATCGAACATCAGACATTACAAAAAACATGTTTTACTCATTCAAAAGTGGTTATCCATAGAATTAAAACTAATAATTGTTCAATTGATCTACTTTGTATATGAGAATAATACCCTGAAGCTCTCTCAATACTACTTAAAGACCATAATCTAACATTAAATTATACCATTCGAGGAAAAAGTAAATAATACTACGTTAGGCAAGAGAGCTCGCAATAATCAAAATATTATGCGTACTGTGATAAGGGCAAAAAAGAATACAGTATAATGCAACAAATTTGCAGCTATATAAAAGAAATGCTGAATTAATTTATTGTAACATCTCGCGCGAAGTAAGATCATCAACCCAATCAATACAATTCCAGCAATACCGTATTTCTTGTTTGGCAATTATCGTTTCTTGTCTGAAATTTATTACAATATTTAAGCTAGATGCGATCAATAGAGTACGGTAGGCTAGGTAACTTTTGAGGGTGTTGATCAAGCGGAAGGACTTTACTATTTTGATACCGTCATACTCTATGTGATAAAGGGTAATAATGCTGACACTATTTTACTGGCCCGTTACTAATTTAAGCGATTCCGTATTTATTCATACACTCTTCTTGTTGACTTATCATCATATTTTAGTCTATATTTTATCCACTTTTATAGCATGCTTCTATTATCTGATCTATTCATAATTCTCAGATATAGTTAGTATGCTAAATAACATTAAACTTGAATGGTGCAACCAAACTATGGGTTTAACCCATTTTGGGGGCAAATATTTGTGCTTGTTCACGATCACTCAGGTCGCCTTATCTCTCTGTAGCGAGTTAAAGTAAGTTCTAAAGAAACAGATTCTAAAGTAAAATATTTTCTACAAGAGAACAGACTTACCGATCCATTAATATCTAATGCCGTAGCCATTAGAATTACTTTAACGTTATTCTCCCAAATCATCCGCCAAAAGTCTGTAACAGTATTAGTTAACGGAGCTTGAGTAGCGATATAAGATCTTGGTTTTCCTAGATATCCCTGTTATGACACGATAGTTATAATTAAGATTATTCCCGAGTAAATTAAGTAACTAATTAAGATACAGTTAGTAGAAAAGTATACAAAAGTCCTTACTTACTCTGACGTAATTAGCATTTATGTACTCAGACGTAACATCGCCAAGAATAGGTCTTAAATTTACTCTCGATAGCTTATCTTAATGAGGAAAAAGAGTAAAATTGAAAGGTAATTGGAAATAATTATAATTATCTAGTTAACGTATGTATAGCTAAAAAATCCAGCTTTTTTCTTCTAGTATTGTGGAAAAGTTGTAATGGTATAAAAGAATAGCTAATAATACTATTTAGCAGTTTTTATATCCTTTCGTTAAATCTATATCCTCCAACAATTATTCTTATCCAATCATAGATTAGAATTCAAGTGCAATTAACAATGTAAGAATATTAAATAGAGCACATTTACAGAATAGGAAAGGCTAATTTTAATGTTATTATTAGCATTAATTATAATTCGATATTTTACTAAGCCATATATGAGTAAAACTTAACGGATAGATCACCGTATGTCTAAATTCGATATGAAATAAGATTTAGCCTTACTAGGAACGACATTAATGAACCGATTTTTCCTTTCGATATTGGCTGGTAATTCTGCATTGGACGATACCATAGTAGGAATTTCCTAACCATAAATAAAATTATACAGTGAGCAAGATAATATTATCTATTTTATAGGCAGTAGCTACGATTAAAATCAACTAAAAAGTAAATATGAGCAATGTTATAGTGCTAGTCTTGACAATAAAAGCATTATTTTATATCTCTTTTGTATCATGTATCGATAGATTATACATAATAATAGTTGCCACGAAACATAAAGTAATGATCATACATCATAAACTAGTAAAAGCTAAGCATTCCTATTCACCTATAGGTACTACTTCAAATAAGTATACTAATGTAGTCGCAAATAATTAATCTGTAACCAAATAAATGACCTACATCAAATTCTAATCGAAGGGCACTCCCAGATCGTAATCGCTCAGCTAGCACGCTTTTGTCCATTTGAGAATTGGTCTGACTTGATCTCTAGACCAAAAATTACATTTGTATTTATCAATTTAAAGGCAATCGATCAAAAGGTCAATAAGAGAATAAAATGAAGCAGGTGTAAAGGAAATCAGCTTACATTAGTTTCATACAGCTCCAAGTTAGGATTTAAATAGCCAAGATCATCATAGTTTTGCTCGTGATCGATAAGTACCGTTCTGAAGGATCGATTTAAGTTATGATGGCCTGATTGCAACTATAGTAACAAGTCTATTGAGCATCCAATCATTTTTACGATAGTTACAAGGTAACATAAGCGATTTAATTTGGCTTAGACATAGCCTGTAATTGTATCGGAAGCAAGGCCTTACCCAATACAAGAATGCAATAAGTAAGATTGCCGCTGCAAAAGCAGACAAAGTAACTGCAATCACCACTCCATCCGCTACCCGATTTGAGAGTATCAAGGAAACTTGTAAAAGCTATCGATAAAATAAATCAGAAGGTATGAAGACAGCTTTTCCAATCTTTAGATTCATGATATAATTAATGATGATATTAATTTATAATATATCTCAGCTATACCTTATATTTTAAGCTATTGATTATAGGTAATATCATGATCAGCAATGCTAACTATATTTATATCCGTATGCTCATCCAGTTCATTCATGAAATTACCATTATACATTAGTAATTAAAGGTAACAAGTAGACAAAAATTAGGCTTGCAAAACAGATTCTATCTAGACGTCTATGATAATATTTCATATTCGCTGCCGATGGCACTTATTGAGTCCATTATGATGATAATGACTGAGCATTATACTTTAATGATTTTTAGCGGCAATACCTATATTTGTTGTAAGCATTGATCTTGTGATCGAGTTTAAAGAAGAGTTCAGGTCATGATTGCTAAATGCAAACTACTCTTAAAATATTAATAATTGGCTTATTTGAAACTTAAAAATCCACATGTCAAGATAACGACTAAATTATCGTCATTGCGAACTCTAGTGCTTAAATACTACAGCATCATGTCTACTATATTGCTTGATGGGGATTATCTTCAATTTAGAGGAATAATCGACAAATCATCATGGCAGCGCATCATAATGAAGAATGATCAATATATTACTATTAAGTTAATAGGAGAGATTGTATCTGATGTACATAATATATTTTGTATTCGCTACAGATGGCATGTTAGTGTGCCCCAAAATTACGACAATAACTAAACATTGCACTTCCATGATTTGTATAGGCAGTAACTAAATTTACTGCAATTGGTCTTATGATCAATTTGTAAAGCAGTTTAAATCATTATTAATAAAATGCAAGCTATCATCAAAGCATCAATAATAAAGCACTATTGCAACGACTAATCATAGTCATTGCAAACTATTCTGGTTAGCTACTACAGAATCATATCTGTTAGATTGGCTTATTGGAATTATCTTCAACTTAGAAGGATGATTAATTAATTACCATGGCAGAGGATACAAACTGGAGCTAGAAATTGCTGGCGCATCTATCATTGCTGCAATAACTAATCTTCCTTACCTTGCCCGAAAAAGCTGGTCCAAGTAATGCGTCATTTCTATCCTGGAATAATTTTAATAACCAATTTCCGATAAATTTTGTTAATGTAGGGTTTACACTTCTTGCAGCAAAATCATTGGTGATATAAAAATTAACAATAACTTCATCATTTCCTGCACGTTGATTTGTTGTAGCGATTCGTGATATATTCATAATGATAACACTTTCATTACTAAACGTTTCATTAAAGTTATCATTCAGATATGCTGCAATATTGTCTTTAAATTCTTGTTTATTGGCCTCAAATGTTTCTAAATTCATGGCTAATCGAATGGAAACATAGATGGGTAAAAATGATGGTAAGTTGGGGTATTCCGTAATTGTAATTTCAGTAGCTGGCGGACTAGGGATGACCGATGAAACTGGCATTTCTTCTTCGACAGCTGATGATGATATTCCAATCTCTGCTGTTTCTGTTGAAAGCACCGCTGAAGAAGGATAAGGAAAAGACATAAAGATCTAGCTTGAAACTAGCAGAAGGAACAGAATTCTTTGAAACTGCTTAAGAATCAAAGGTAAAAATATATACTGAGGCGTTCGAGCTATTTATGTTATCCAAGTAAACTTATAATTAAAAAAAAATTTATATACAAATTACCGACAGCAATTATATAAGCTCAATTACTGATGATATGCTGTAGAAAACCTATAGATCTAGCTTCAAATTAGCAGAAGAAGTAGAATTTTTGATATACTGCAGAAGAAATTGAAAATAAAAATATATGCTGCGACATTCATACTATTACGTTATCACAAAAACTTGTTATTAAGCAACAAATATCTAGATTGTCAACAGCGATTACATACTCGCCATGTCAGATATTATACCGTAAAAATAGTGGCTACCTACTTGTTGGCTTTGGAATAAATGTTGTAGTCGTGGCTTGATTCATGCCTGTAGTTGTAGTAACTAGCATAGCCAAAATAAAAAGAATGAAGCTTAAAATAACTGCATAAAAAATAAAGATACAACGCCTGCAATTTAAAGAATGTTGAGGAAAGAAAGCGGATCATAGGCAGAACAGTGTATTCCTAGTGGCGAAAAATTTACGGTCACAATTTAATCCCCATGAAGAAAATGTAAAAGTGGCTTTAGTTTATCTACTGTGCTTGCAATTGACGTTATGAATATTATTTGTATCGAGCTATCAAATTCCTAATGAATTTGATTTCCTTGACTAGTATAAAGCAGTTAAAAATAATGGCTAAAGAGAATAAAGGTGCAGCTGTGATAATTTAATAAATCTGATCGAAGGGAAGCAAATCGTAGACAATATATTTCTAGTAATTGGAAAATTTACAGCCGCAATACTATAAGAGAATATGCATAAGTTGGTCTTTATAAATTAAATGCAAAAGTGGCATTTGTCTATCTGATATTCTAGCAATTGCACTATAGATATTATCTTCAAAGGAAATAAGAGTCTTCATCTTCAATTTTGGTTGCCATGTACTTAGTAAAAGGTGTAAAGAAGCTAAGCCATGTTATATACCATGGAAAACAATCTAATTGAATCATTTCTCTTACGGTACTCTGGCTAGTAGTTACAGTTAGTTAGGTTTGCGATAATTGCCGCCACTTACATAAAAGAATAGCGTAGGCATTGATATAAAAATATTAATTTAAATAGCTATTTACGTTAATAAATATCGGAAATAGTGTCATAAATAGCAATTAAAACCGCAATATACTGGGTATATCGAAAATCTTATTATCATTCCATCTCATCAGAAATCGTCCGTTAATTCTAAAAGCTTACTTGTCGTGAGAGAAGTTCCATCAACCGTTGCAGTTGTAGTTTCCAATTCCGAATCAAAAGTGGTAAGCATCAGAAGGGGAGATTGAGAATTGGATATCGAGACAACTAAAGATAGTGAGATAAATTTCATTCTGTAGTCATCGAACTATAAATAAGCGTATAACTATTTGACTGTATCTACTATCATTATAATCCGTTATTTACTTATAGAACCTTGGTAAATTTTACAATAATCATTTTATTACTTTCATTCTATAGTCATTAAACAATAAATAATCGCATAACTATGGACTGTAACCACTATTATCATAATCCATTATTTATTAATAGAACCCTAGTAAATCTTGCGATCCTTTTACCACTACAGCAATCTTCTACAGAATTGCAAAAATATAGCCTTCACTTGCCCAAATTACCATTACGGAAAGTAATTGCAATAACATGTGAAACTGAGGTTTGCAGTTAAGACCAAAAATTAAACTTTCTTCAATTGCATCTACCCTTTTGCCGTGTAATAATTATAATTTAAGCTCAACTACAGTGGATACATCATAAAATGGTTTAATTACCATTCCATAAAACTTAAAGCTATTATTCTCCTGAACTATTATCATGCCGGCTTAACATCCTTAGTATACAAAAATAGCTAAAAAATGCGATATCAATACTGTCCTATCTCAGAAGCCATGCGTAACTTTGCTTCTTTTTTTACCATGATTCCCATCATTTAATTGACTTAATGAACTAGGTATAAACGTCATCAGAAAATATCATCTTTCCTAATACTAAGGGTATAGTAATTGATACAGTAGATATTAATCAGTTTGATATTGCAAAGACTGGTATATAATGGTGCTACCGGATATTTATTAAATTGTTCAGAAAACTCATTGATGTAAATTATCATTATCGAATACTGCGTATTTAATAATCGATACTCTAGGCTTCTAAGAATTTAAAATAAACGCTGGTATATATGTACTAACTTAGTATTCTGATTGCGACAACTATTGGAGTACCAGTATCCCTATCAGAAGTTAGGGGGTAATTAATAACGTAAAGTAAGCATATGACATTTACTGAACAAGAACCAGTCGTACATTGCTGTGGAAATCTATCAGATTCGCATTTATGATCAATACAATAATTAGAAATGCTATAAGTATTTATCTAAAATAAATTTAATACTGTGCAATATGAAAAATTTTATGCGGTATAACAATTTTGGAAGGCTGCTTTGTATAGTAAGTTGAGAATAAAGAAGCAGAAATTAAGATCTAACGTGAACACTTACCTAAATAACTATACTATCATGAGTGATAATTATATCTAGATATATATTAACAAGATGCTAATTCAATATGGGTGACAAAAGTAATTCTTACGGTATTCATTTCACCTGATATTATAATGAAAATCCAATAATATGAATGATTCTGCATTTTCATCTATGTTCTTAGGAGTAAGTAAATTTCGACATCCAAATCGATGCCCTTGACACTATGAAAATGCTAGGATTACCACACTAACCATTAAAATAATAACTGCATAAATTACTAAAGTCCAAGTTTCTAATTACGGAAGGTTTGTAAAATTATAAATGGAAATTTTAACGTGCAGCTGTTTGGTATACATATGCAAATTTATTTTTGGGTGGAGTCGGTCTATATGGATTGTGCTAAGCTTAATGAGAATTCTTTTAATATAGCGAATGAATCATTGCATCGGTAAGGTCAACATTATTCTGTATTTACTAGAAGCCAAAATTTACATTGCTGTATACTAGTTATTATTTTATTGAGTTTCTATAATACCCAAGATCATTTGTAATCCATTCAAAGAATTGTCCTTTAACAGTTTTACTTTCAATATATTTTCATAATGTACAGGAGAAGATATTTTTACAAAATTTATATTCATATTTTTCTAATTTTTTATTTTATTTTATAAGCATGTACATACGCATTGACTAACGACATATAGACGGCAAATTTTAATTTTAATATTTACTTTTTCAATTGAGCATTGACTAACATATGCTACAACCAGGTGGTTACCGATGTCATCATCCATTTCTTCCTATTGGATGATATTAATTTGAAGCTCATAGCTGGCCAGTAGCCGTTATATCCATTTCTCGACTATAAATATGCTAGCAAGGACATACTAGCTGGGTTATTAATGTTATGATTTCGTGCAACCTTTTTGTTTGTACAAATCTTATGGAACAGTAGGTAAATTTCTTCATAGAATCCATAACACAACATAATCTTATTCCATTGTAGTTATTTAGCGATCATGTTCGGCCCTGAATCTGTAATTTCGATAATTAATTATGTAAGTAATTTCTTGTAACACCGAGCATAAGTTCATGAAATTTAATGCCTTTCCTAAAGTTTTTTGTTAAGTATTTACTAATGGAAATCGTGCGGAATCCGAGGGATATTAGCATAGTAGCTACTTATGTATATTAGCTAGCCAATTATTTTAGTTGCCTTAAGGTTGTTATAGCTTTAGCAACAGCCTTTAACGGGGAAGAATCTACATGCACATTCATATATCTTGCAACCCTTATCATTAAACCGATTATCTTACATTAACGTACAGTACATCATCTATAGTTTAATGAGTAATACGTTATCGAATATTAACTTTTATAAAATATTCTGAAATGATTAATGCCATTTAAACTTTGGTAAACCAGGAAATTAGATATAGCAATAGAGAATAGGTGATTGCATTTTAGAATTATTGGATCTTGTAAAGTTTATTAAACTGATAGATTTTACGCTGAAAGCTTATCGAATTGAATATGTGTCTCAGTTCTAAATTAATAATGATCTATGTTACTTTTGACAGATAGAAATAATGTTATTACTGAATATGGTAAGAACTTAGTCTACATGCATTTTACTGTTGTGTATTGAATCAGTACGTTAATATAAACGCCAGATTAGCTAAATTTTAATAATGTCGGTACAATTACTTTATTACAATGTAGACAACAGAAGAGTATAGCCACAAATATTTTTAATCCAGATTAAGTCTGAATAAGATAACGAATTAGTAGCATTCTAGATGTTTAAACACTTGTTGAAATTAAGTATTACTGCCTTCTTGGTATTTTCAATCCTACGCAAACTAACGCTCATTTGTGATATACCCAAGCCCTCGTACTGATATTTAGCTACCAACATATTGATGAACGTACTGTAAGTAATTAAGGGCTACTAAAATCAAGATATTCTTCATGAAGTGATAGGAATTTACGTACCAAAGGTTTGAAAATGATTAAAAGTAATAACATAATCCTATCCTGAAATGCTACAATCAGGCAAGATTAAATGAAATGAAGTGCAGTTAATACGAGTATCGTGAATTAAGGCTAATGAGGGCATGAAACTTCCTATTAGAAATAGACATTTGATTAATATGTATAAAACTGTACATGCTTGCGATATAATACAAGAGAATTAGCTGAATAATTATAAATCAAACATTTCCATCATTATGATTTCATTATCATTCTGATAATGAAAGCAAGCTTAGAGGTAAACAGTCATGACAGGAATTCATCCCTATGGAATTTCTCAGATAAAGCTTTTGCGAAAACTTTTTGCAATTAGGAACCAGCAGCTTCCAAATGTTATATTTATCAGCTGAAAGTGATGAGTTAAGCCCTTTTTGATTATCATTAGGGAACAAATTTAGTCAAATATGCGATACATCTCCATATTATCATTACAGATATTTTTCGATAAAGATCTCAAAAACGAGTAAATACGGAAACTCAAGTTACAGTAATAAAATCTATAGTATTGGAAAACTGGAGTACTATTGCGGCTTGACCTGAAATAAATTGGGAAAAGTAGATTAATACCGCTAATCATTTAAATATACATGAAACAATTGAATTATTGGCTGATAGCATAAATAGATTAGATTATAGCTACGAGTAATTTTAATTCCAATTTCTAGGAAGAATAAATCTTCTATTGGCGTTTCACATGCATCTGATTTAAAGGAAACAGTAGAAACGAAGCAATTTAAATTGAATAATTCCTATATCATTATGAAGAGAATCAACAGTAGATCCTCTAAATATATACTATTAAAGGTTCTATTTTTTATATTTTTCAACCGATCCATTTTCGGACATTAAAGAAAATGAGGCCAATGGAGAGAAAAGAATTATCTTCTAAACTGTGGTAACGTATCGTTCCGATCGAATATTTACTTTTATTCCAACTAATTTGAATAAGCCTTTGCGAATTGGAGCATTGGAGCAGCTGTATATTATGGGATTAATAGCACAATTAGAAAAGGCCAACATGATTGCCACAAAAGTCCCGATGTGAGGCTGATAAAATACATCAAAGTAACTTATCATCATTAGAGTATATAGAGGTGTCCAACAAATATATAGGGTGCCGACGATAGCCAGAAATAAAAGGACTAACTTAATGTCCTTATCGGAGGTTTTATGAGTACGAATAGAATCTGACAGTGAAGACGAAGAAATCATATTTTGCTTATTAATTTGATGGACTTGTCGACATGCAGTACGAAATATTAATGAATATAATAATAGCATAATAAATGCTGGTATCACATAGTTAATCATCAAAAATGATGCTAAATAAACTCTTTCTTGGATTAATGATCGATTAATATCATAGGAGCATATACCAAAAGGAAGATCATGATGTGTTCGCCACAACATAATGGGTAGTAAACTGATGAGTAATGGCTGTATCCACACAAAGAGTAAAATAATGATCAGCGATTTCTTGGTCATGAGTCTAGGATGATGATAGGGATGACAAATAGCTATATAGCGATCAAAACTGATGGCGCATAAATTAAGTATAGATACCATCACTAAGCCAATGCTTAAGCAGTAATGGATAGCACACCATTCTTTAATAAACGGCCAATAGCCAAGCAAGGCTTGGATAGGGTAAACTGCAATGATGAGAGTTGCAAAGAGGAAATCAACAACACACTGATTGACTACCAAGTAGTTAGTATTATTATGCAGCCGACGATATCCAACAATCGTAGCGATAACTAAGGAATTGCAGATGACACTAAGAACAACAATACTTATTTGGATTGCCAGACTTGTAATGCCAAGAGGTGTTATTTCTTCATAATTTTCATCTGGTATGTGATTGGAGCCGTTATAGATAGTAATATTCGGATTATGACTAAAAGAGAAGCAAAAAAACAAAATTTTACAATGAGGAAAGAATTAGCTAAGGGTTAAAGATGCAAGCAAGATTGATATGCTATTTGTTTTTTTTTCAGTTCATAACTTGCTTAAATATTCTAAGTTTATCTAGCCATGCTTTATTTAGCCTTGCTTTTAAAGACAAGGGCTACCAATTTAAGGAAATATTAATGAGTATAGATTGCTAATTTTGTGGCTCAGTCAATTAGGAATGGTAGATTATAATTGTATTTGTTTTCCGATACCAATTCACCATGAATGTCAATTTCTGCAGTACAATTATCATATCAAATATCTCTAAAGATTGAAATGTATTGGTCCAATAAACCGAATTAATTTAATTTCCTAGTATGGAAATTGAATTCCGGTAATGATTCTGGATACAATAATGTAAACATGCTATTTCGGAGTCTTAGAACAAGATAATTACAAATTTTTGAAAACCCTTCAAATATACGAGCACAGTGCATACTTTTAAGTGTGAAGTTATTAATCGTGAGTTTCTTTTGTTTAGTCTATGAAAAGGAAAATCTATTTTTCGACTTTTCATTACATCTCTATTCTCTTAATAAATTTTTATTTTATGCTAATAAAACGATTAATATTTTTAAGTTATTTAAGATGCTCGATTGTGCTTGAAGTCATTTCGTCAAGGCCATGAGTATATTACAATTTTATTGGAAAAAGACGTAATTTTCATTTATAGTCAGTAAACTTATTCAAACAAACTGTAGAAATATTAACACTCCGCTTTAGTTTTCATGTAATAGATTCAAATAAATTGCTAATTCTATTATAAATGTTTAAAAATTGATTGGAGGTGATGATAATTAATAGGTCTACCGTTCCATAAGTAAACTAGATCAACATTTATACCGGTTGTCGCTTGTCACCTTAAATCTTTATCGCCTGTTTTTACTGGATGATATAAACAAAACACGATTAAGATAACAGGGATAAGAACCGAAGCTTCAGCTCGCTCTTTTGTTACTTAAAGCGAAAAAAATTTTTAGTCATCGGAATTTCGGATTGAAAGTACAGCAAATTGCTCTATCAGCTACAAAGATTGACAAACAAATGACCACTCTTTATACATTGTTAAACTTATATCGGTAGTATAATATCGCATTTGTCATGTAAGACTAGCTAATATTTAATAAATATATATAAGAAATTCGCTGACTAATTAATGCTCTATTATGCTACGCTAAATTTTGCTTCATAGGTTGATTTCTAATTCAATATTGACCTAAAGCGATAGCAATTACCTTTCATCCACGACTGATTCAAAGTGAATCATCTAATTACAGGAATGCTATTATTAATTTTAAATTGCAAGGCTGCAGATATAGATAAATTGGCATTTAATAATCTGGTCATTAATACACATAGTAATGCCTCCCAAGCATTTATTTCGCTTATTTTAAGTTCTATTTAAGTGAATTTTCATTGTTAGACGGATTTCATCTATCAAATAGCTATGATCTTCTATAATCTAACACTAACTATAACGAGCTAGTAATTTGTTAAAATAGATACTGATAGCGAAAATTTCGCTTTTTTTAGTTCAAATTAATGCCGCTATTGATTGCCGACTGGTTATTGAATCGCTATATAGAGTAAAAAATAGAATTAAAAATTTATCTGGAGTTGAATGTAAGGAATAGAATAAGTGGATTCTGGTTATTGTCGATTTGGACATTTCTCAAAAGTAAAAGAACTTGGAATAGTTGTATAGATCACAACATACATACTTTCCTATTTACTGCTAATTCAGTTAGTATAAATCATCGAAAGAAAGGCAATATCAATATTACAGATTTAAAGAAAGAACGTCAAGGTACAAGAATAGCTACAATGTAGAATTATAAAATTTTTGTAGATCAATGGATAAAAATTAAGTATATAAAAACTTATTGAATACTAGATAAGAATCAAATACATAAATGTCGATCAAGGTTCGACGGCTCTATCTTGGAGAATAGTAAAATTAAAGAAATCTGTTACTAATATAAAATAAATAATACATTCGATTAAAAATTCGATTGATAATGGAAGCTAGGGCAAAAATAGCTGTGAAAATACTGATGGAAATTTTTTTTTACAGGCAAACTGTGATATCAGTAAAATAAAGCATGTACTAATTATCTGTATGTAACATTGATCAAGAATGAATGGTATTCGGATAATAATTATATGAAGATTACGAATTATGAATAGATATAAATGATTTTTATGAATTGAATGTGTATTGTGTATCGAATACAAATCCTGATTAAGATAACCTAGGCAAAGAAAATAGAAAATTTTAATATGCACATGTAGTTAATGAGCTAAAAAAATTGGTGTGATCGTAGCCCTTGATTCATGGTCGTTGATACAGTATCAAAAAGAGGAAGTTATAAAATACAGATTGTTGTTGGTTATTATTACTATAGCATTCATGAAAAATTTGATCGAAAAATTGACGATTTAGCTGTAAAATATAATTAAAATATTGCTTTTAAAATACGGATTAAATAATGATTATAAATGAAATAATTCCTGTCTAAAACTTATTACCCGATTGATTCTATTTTCATAATCCCTTAAAAGAAATGACCACAATTGTGGGGAAATAGGTTTTATAGTGAGATCCCAATAATCATTAGTAAGATGATGCTAGATCTGAATAGATTAATGGTGCCATGGATTACTTTATGGCTTTAAAGGTAGTCGTTTACTATTAGTGGATGATGGTAGAGACGACAGCTGTAGCCTTAAATGAGACTATAGGGTGCCTCGGTAAGTGGTATCAGCTTGTTTCAGTATCTTACATATAATTGGCTGTGTATGAGCGATGCCAATCATACCTAGTTAGGGGTCTTGCACCTGCAGGAGCCTTCTGGAGCATTGAGTTTAATAAGGGAAGTATCGAATAAGCTGAATGACGTTTGAATGTGATTAGCCCAGGGAGACTGAATTTTTAAACATATATCATTAAAATGTTGCAACGAAGGGTGTGAAGAGTTGCCTTCTTTAGAATGGACCTCAACCGAAAATTTGAGAATCAGCTGTATAGTTTACTTGGTTAAAAGTTTTACCACTGTAAAATTTAAGAGTATTTTTAAGTAATAAGTTAATACTAAACCGCTACTTTGTAAGACTAATTATTGGGTGACCAGTTCAGAGTAGGACTGAAGGTAGTACTTTATTGCAATGATATCGATTTTGTTCATGATAGCTTTGATTAGAAGTAAATGAACTAAGTTTGAATACTTATTTTATAATCGAACTTATTAATTATCAAAGATTAATAAGACAGCGTTATTATTATCTAGCGATTAAATTATAAATTTCACAACTACATAAAAATTACTGGCTCAAAGCTTTAATTAATGAAAGAATGTATGCCACCAGGAATAGCTAATTATAAAATAACAAGGTTAACGAATAGGACATGAGGTATGTATATCCGATCGAAAATCTGATTAACGATTGATTCGGTAATACTAAACTACGTGAGTATATTTATACTTTGAATCGAGCTTCTCATCAACGATTGATGAGACACCATTATTATACGCGTATCTAGTGACTAAATAAAAAATTTCATAAATCGGAAAAAGATCGGGGCTTCAATTTCTACTCAATGGTAAAATGTGTATCGCTAGAAATAGATAATTTTAAAACAATAAGATTATCGAATATGATATATCCCAGAGGTAAGGTTTATTCGATGGAGATCTGATCAAAAATTGATTAAATATGAATGAACTACATATGCATTTTTATACTTATAATCAATCGCAGTTTTACGAACGATTGATTTTGTCGATTTTAAGATTGGCCAAATTTGGGTTTTGACCACAACATGTCTTCTTTAAATCGAACTCTTTCTTCAACGACTGATTCAGTATGAATAAACTACAATTGTATATTTATACATTTGATCGATTTTCTTATCGACGATTGATGAGGCAGTATGCATTCTATCTAGTGGTTTAATTTTAAATGTTATAAACAGAAAAAAATCGTAGCAGAAAGTTCTATTCAATAATTGATAGATTTTGCGTCACTGGAAATAGCTAATTCTAAAGTAACAAGATTAGTAAACATCATTTTAAGTATTGTATATCAGATGGAAATCCGATCAACAATTGATATGATGCAAATCATAGTTGTTATTATTTAGTGCAACGCCAATGTAGAATACATTAATGAATAAGGCCGAAATGTATCTTAAATAAATGTTAATTAGCGATTGATGTTGTCATAGTTTTGAGAGTAGATTTAAAAATCTATACAGTGTAACCAATTCTATCATGTGGATATTGATGTTGCAGAATTGGAAAGTGTTTTCAAACTTGAAATAGACTTTAGTAAATAATCGCCATAAAATCACAATAATCAAAAATGATGGCAAAATAGCGATGTATTAGAGATGAATTTATAGCGTAACGTCTAATTAGATAGATCTAACGTTGTGATAAAGTGATCTTCAAAACAATAAATCAAGAACCACAGTTTCTTGCAAATTTCACTTTATTACAGAAGTTAGGTTCGTCTGACTACCAAGGACTATCTGATTATCTGACAATCTTACACTCTACCTTACAAGTTAAGTTATTCTCGTACAGTCTTATAATAGTAATCTAAGCTATATTTGGGGCTGCACTACAAACGGAAAGCTGCTAATCTTATATTGGCAGATCTTATTCCTTATCAACAGATTTATACTGTATCCGCCATATCTTCTCAACACTAATCGATGAAGTAGTAAGATTTAGTAGATAGATAGTTCGTGTATATACAATAAGCCTGACGTAAACAAATGATAATTTATTTACCCCAGCCATTAGTATCTTGTTCTAAGCTCACTGTAATAAAATCTCAGCCCATTTTCTTCATAAATAGATAAATCTTTGGCTCTATAGTAAAAAATTCAGCCACTGTATTTTTACGTCAAGCAGATGCCAGTAAATAATAAGTCGCAAAGAAAGGAAGCAGTAAATTATAGAGGCATTGCATGACATGTGCACAAGCAATGAATAATGCATGATTATTTATTGTATGCAAACTATCGTAGCTTATCAATTCTATTTTCTAGGGTATACATTTAATTTACTGGGTATAGATTCCACTTGAAAATTACTGGTAGCATTTCGAAGAGTAAATCTACAGTACCACAGACTATTGCAGTGCTAGTATAGATCAGCTGAGACTTACAATAAATAAGGCTAAGAAAATGTTCGCTAAAAGCATGCTTAGCATTCATTTTATTTGAAAGTTGGAAGGGGAAATTATTACATATAAAGGCAGTCGATTGCTTAACTATTATAAGCTATGAAGTCATTCAGGATCTTGCATTGAATTTTTATGGTTATAATGCCACAGCTATAGCGTTTGCACAATTCTTGATGAAATTAAGATGTTTTTGACAAGCTAACGGTAGTTAATGATAAAGGACTTTCTAATTAAGTGGTTATTCGCATGTATTAACTTTTTTAATTCCCGTGCCATTTTAAGCAATAGCAGAGAATCTACTAATTTGATCGGCATAATCGCATTAATAAAATTTCTCCAATAACTGGATATAAAGTAATATGAATAAATTTCTAAGGCAACATGATACGCAGATCTGCCATCATAACTCTGAACTATGCAAACACTTTGAAACCTAGAGCAATCGTATTCGTAAATGATAATTTATTTTACTCCATTCCATTTCTCACTTTTGATATATATTCTAATAGATAATTAGAATGTAAAAGTACAATTGATTTATCATATAAAAGTGATTTAATCAGTAGGTTAGAATATTATATGTCAGAAAAATCCTATATCAGACTCAAATTCATTCTCATCCAAAGCGTTTTAAACTAACGATTCATGCTCGATCTTGAAACCCGTTCCATTCACGCATGAACACTCTCTTGAAAATCTCTTCACTTAAGCCTCTATTTATAATTTCCCTTTCATTCACTTACACTCTTAATTCAACTTTCTCACAAGTTATCATGATCGCCGACAAACTGCCCTAGTATAGGTGACTATAGCTTATAACATATAGACATTATGTGTAATTGACTTTGAATTTTGCAGCCATTGCGTAATGCAAATGTTATTGCTCAACTCAAAATCAGTCTTAATTATGACCTACTAATGTAAAAAAAATTGAATATCAATTGCATTTACTTTGAAGGCTAGAGCTACTTCGCTGGTATAATGTAGCCTTACAGCTTTAGAAAGAAATCGAGAATGATCATTCCAATTACACCGCATGTACCGAGGCTATTTTATTAACAATAATCCATGTAT